CCCGGGCATGTGCCCTGACCAGGAATCGAACCCTGACCTCCTGATTCATTGGTCGATGCTCAACCCCTGAGCCGTGCCGGCCGGGCTACAAGAGGATTTTTTAAAATCAGAATGGGCACACATGAAACAAAAGGGGTCTGGGGTTTGTGGGCTGTTTTAAGGTAACCACTAATGGAATTCAAAAGGGAAGGCTTCTTTCCAAATGCTTTAAAAGATAAATGCACACAGCGGAGTCCAGACACAAAAGGCAAAACTGGAAAGAGGAAGCAAATCAATATACATGGGCATTTATAAGAATTGGCTGGCACGTCAAAGTGTAACACAGAACAGGAAATGCAAAAGGTGAAAGCTACCTTATTGACATGAAATTGTGGTTCTGTCAAAAAATGAAATGCAACAACTCGTATAAAGAACACCTAACACAAAATGACCAAGCGTGAAAATAAATGGTGGGCCAGAGGGAGAAGGCAGGAATTCTAGTAAAAGGAAACGAGTGGTAATATTAATCAAAGGGTGATTGAAAGCTAAAAGTCTCACACAGAATAAAGGGTCATTACACAGAGATAAATCATATCACAGAGACACAACAGAACCCTTTATGCACCCAGTATGTAGCGCAAAAGCAGACAGGATGACCAAGTCACAGGGGAAAATTTCAGCTGCTACTATCAGCCTGTGACAGAGCTTCAGGTCCAGATGGGGGCATAGAAGGTATGAAATATAGAAGATGTAGTCAAAGCAGAATTAATCCCTCTCAGATTAATTCTAAGATTGCCCTGTGCAACAGGAGAGCTACGTCTGCTTTGAGATGTGGTGAGCATGGCTGAGGAACTAATTTTAAAATTTTATTTCATTTTAACTCAAATTAAAATAGAAAAGCTGCAGCCTTTTCTGTGACATGCGACTGGAAGGTTTTGGCAGAACTACATTTTGCTTTAACCATTGAAAATTTAGCATCCATATTTAGATGTGCTATAAACACGAAATAAATACTGGGTAAGAGTGCTAAACATCTCATTTTTATATTATTTCATGCTGATTTATTTAATAAGAATTTGGATATATAGGATTAAGTAAAAATGTATTATGAAAATTAATTTCACCTGTTTTTGTTTCTAACTTTTTGAATGTAGCTACTAAAAAGTATAAAATTACACTTTATGGCTCACGTTGTATTTCTATTGGGCAGCCCTGCCTAAGAAATAGGACACACCTTCTTCGGAAAGTTTCAGAGAATAGTTTGCAAAAAGCAGTTACTGCCAGACTACAGTGTAGTGAGAAAAAAAATATAGCAGGAGAGACTTTAAATCCAGAGAGAACGTTCCCTTATTTTTTATTTTTTTTAAAGAAAGAACTAAGAGTCTAAAAAAATTAAACATCAAAATTCTCAGGATGCAATCAACTTTAACATAGTCCCAATCAGTCATTTCTCCTTGCTTTCAGGTCGACAGCTCTGAGCATCTGATACAATAGGCCCTCCTCCCTGGAAAAACGCACCGACAGAAAGCATTTTGTGTAGAATCTGAGGAGGGCCACTGGGGTCCGGGAGCCCCAGGCTACCAGTGCCTGATCATCTAAAGTGAAAAGAAATGAACTAAGCAGGCAATTAAGAGTCAAGGAAAATGAAACAAAACCTCCAGGAAACTAGGAAAAAGAGCTGCAGGAACAGGCCAGGATAAAAACGCCAGAACTGTTCAATCCGTGAGGTGTTTCTTTGGAAAAATCAAACAAAACTGAAAACCAGCAAACGGCTTAAAAAAAAAGAAAACATCAAGGAAAAAATGGTGTAAGTGTTGTAAGAAATGAGGAAGACCATCGATTTCCAAAAACCACAGTTTCAGGATTCAGGGAACACATACTCTGCACAACTGCAGAGCCATATGTTGGTAAAACAAAATTTCCCATGAAAAAATCTAAATTGCCCAAGTTGACAAAATAGAAAATCTAAATCAACAACAAACATTCCTGTATTTTCTAAAAAGTAAAAAAAAAACATGCATTTTCTGCTCTCCCCACTGGCATCGGGATGTGATGGATTTGCTGGTAAATTACTTTAGAGTTTCGAAGTACATTCTTCTCTTTCAACAGTCTGTGTTCAACAACTGAGGCCACTCTCAGCCCCATGTACAGTCAGCTCAATACTGTACAGTCAGCTCAATATAACAGCCCTGTCTCGTAAGGTAAGCGCTCCTGGGTCACAGACAATGGCTGGGAGGTCATTGGTTTATCTTGTGAAGCAAATATGACACTGACCCCTAGAGCTTCCTAAACTGCGGTGACATAAGGACTAGCAGGGCCTGGCCGGAGTGGCTCAGCGGTTGAACATCCTCTGAGCACCAGCAGGTGGCTGGTTCCACTCCCGCTCAGGGCACGTTCCCGGGTTGCAGGTCCCATCCCCACTCAAGGGAGCTTATGGAAGGCAACCAATCAATGCTTCTCTCCCCCTCTCTCTCGGGTGAGGATTAAAAAATAATAAACGGGTGTGTGTAGATATAACCATGTAAACATTATCTCCTCACCAATTCAAACTGACATACTCAAAATTAAAAGGACGCTGACAGGAAATGATTTATGGGAAGGCTGCATGTCAGATCCACATGGAGACCTCTCAGTGAACAAAGTAAGATTTAAGTGAGAGGCTCACTGTAATGCTCATGGAAAGCATTCGAGCTGAAATTAAGTAAGACACGTACCACCTTCCGGGTTACATTGTTTAAACTGATTCTCCCTTCCCCCAGCAAACATTTCCCCGTGTTACCTCTGGGGCTGACTTTCATTTAGCAGGTGGATGGCAAGGAGCCTGGCCTGTGAGCCGGCAGCCAGCTCGGGGCGGGAGGAGCACGCCTTCACCGCGCCTGCCTGTTCTGAGAGGTGGGTCATGTTAAGCGCTCTCTGCAACAGACTTGCTTTGATGCCTAGAAATGAACAAATGCCAGTTTTAGATATGAAAGGGAAACGTGTGCTTGTCTCACATCCCTGCTTGTTTAAAAAGAAAAAGAAAAAGAAGGGAGACCGACCCCAGTCTACCTGCACCTCCCCACACCTGGTCACTAGTGCTCATCGAGGAAATAACCTTCCTGGAGAAAAATCAACCCGTTCCTCTTTCCCGGGGACCCAACTTTCCTCCTCACCACCTGCCACTTCTTACCCGCTCCGCTCCTTTGGAGGTTCTAGCCGGAAGCAGTAAGTGTCCGAAGCACCGTTTTCGAACCTGACCTGAGCATTTCAGGGGAAGTGGTGAGACTGACCGGTCTGATTCCAGGCAGGAGTGCAGCGCCCGGGGCAATTGTTACAACCACGTAATTACCGGGCACAACGGTATATTCTAATGACGTCTCATTAGGAATTAATGACATGAAATAATTACTGTTAAAGTGACCTCTCTGTCAAGGGGATATAAGCGAGGGAACCACTTAACACCAAGAGAACACGGTAATAGACTAAAACCGGGCCCCTCGGGGTTCCCGCACGAGGAGATTGCGAAGGTGACGATCTTCTTTATAGAAGGGCTTGTGTTGTATGAAGGACCAGCAGCAGGACAGTTTGCTGTACGCGGCTCATGCTTGGGCAGTGCGTCCTTTATACGGACTCTGCCTTTAAAAACTTCTGTGGACCAACTGCACTTGCTCTAAGGTTTTCACTGGCTTTGAGACCAGTAGGAAACGGAGCCCGGCCCAGGACTTCCTGGGCAGCAGGTGCTGGCATCTCTGGAGGGGTGGGTTGGGGTTTAGCAGAATCCGAGCAAGGAAAATGGCTAAAGGCTACGGTTCCTGAGTACCACATCAGAATTGTTGACGTCTACTTTGCAAAGTGTTTAAATGCATTCTACACATAATTTTCCCCACCTCAGAGTTAGCCACTGGTGCCCAATGGGTACGGCTGGCAGTGAACGCGAAAGAAAAATTCCTAGTACGAATAAAACCATCATCCACTGATTGTTGGATAAAGGTCCACCGATGTCTGAGCAAAGCATGCACGCTAACGAATGCTTGTCGAAGTATCACCTAGTGCTGCCTTTGCAGGGCACGCAGGGTCATCGGACTGACCTCACTACATAGGACCCAGGAAACGTGTTGCAGTTCGTTAGTGATGCACTGAGCTCTTTAATGCTCCCGGCACCGTGGAGTGGTGCCTGGATGAGGCAGAGACCAGTATCCTCTTTGAACTGAAAATAGGGCCTCACTCTTCTCAGTCTCTTCGACGGTACGAGGCCAGCAGGGACACCGCTTTGTAGTTGGCAAAGCTTTTCTCAGGGAACAGTCTTCATCCTCGTTTGTGGAGCGAACAACTGAGGCTGAGTGGCCTCAACAGCTTTAGCTCTAGGCTCAGGCAACCGTAGATTCGGAACAATGTCCTTAGATTCAGAACAAGGTCCATTTCTAAATAGATGGAGGCAGACCAACAGCAGCTTCTCTTGACTTATTCTGACTGTAAGCACTCCCAAGTCCTGGGCCCCCGAGAGCAGGTGGCTTTTCCTACTCAACGGACTCGCAGAGAGAATGTAGCGGGCTCTCCCGCGGTGTGGTGTGGTCGACAGCACGGGACTGTCACCAGTCTGTGAGCCGGGGAACATGACAGGGAGATGTGTCTGTTATTTCTAAGGAACAGCAAAGACAAACTGGCTGGGGCTGCCGAGAGAAAGGTAGAATTACGGCTTGTAGTTTGTTCTAGGATTGACCACAAGCCTAGAGTTGGGACACTATTAAATGTGACCTCCAAACAGCTGAAGAACTAAACACCAGGCTCCTATTCAATGGTGTGTGTGTGTGTGTGTGTGCAAGGGCGCGCGCTCGCTCTAAAACTTCTAGGAGTGAACTTGCACCTTAGAGTATGAGAACACCGTTTGGGAACAGCGCTGGGTGGGGTAATGGGGGCGGTACACATGTATGTCCCTGGCTCCTCGTGAGGACTGTCCAATCTGTAACACAGACACCTTCTGGGTAGGTGTCGATCGTCTTTATTTCAAAGGGAGGATGGGAGGGGAAAAAAGCCACTCAAAGTCTCAGTAATTCAATAATTTATTCCTCTAAAAAAGTGTGTAAAAGTATATAGCTCTCATTCACAAGGTATATATGAATGACATTTAAAATGGAGGCCTTTTAGTATTGTTTCTTTTATCAAAGTCTTTTAGTGTACTGTACCAGCGCTATACTGCAGGGTTTTTTTAAATGAACTTCACATATTTTTGTATTCTTTCAAATTGTTTGCTATATATAAAAGAAGCTCACTGCAAAATGCTTGAAGGAAAAAAGGAAACAAAAAAATTCAGAACTTCCCAGAAATGTACAGCTTTTACATTTAAAAAAGGCTCTGAGATATACATACAGGCATGCTGGACCCCCCTCCCGCCCGATCCCCCTTTTTAGTTCAAACCATGGTAAGAGTTCTGATTTCTGCAGGATTGCCAAAATTAAAAATTAAAAAAAAAATAAAATAACTTCTCACTCTGTAGCAAATCCAGGGCTTGTACATTTCAGATTAATTCAGTAAAAAACTCACAAGTAAAATAATGCATATTTAAGGGAAATATTATACAGACTTTCACACAGAAGTACATAATAAGATTTTTTAAAATCTATTGCCATTCATTTATTTTTGCACAAAAACGTATAAATATGTCACCAGCTTTTCTTAACTTAAAAAACTTAAATAAAAGACACCAGATGAAATCTACCCTTTGCTGCCTTTTTTTTTTTAAAATTTTTGTAGGGTTTTTTTGTTTTTTGTGTTTTTTTTCTTTTTCTTTTTTTGCTTAGAATTGGGTTTCTAGGGAAGAAAAGCCCCTGCATTAAAAACAGCCCATTAAAAAAAAAAAAATTCAAAGTTCTGATGAATTCTGGAAAAAAAAGCAACCCCAAAGTGGTAAAAGATTACAAATATCTACTTTACAATTTGTCTTCTCACCAAGATAATTTTATACAAGTTTACAATCTTCATCATCTTATGCTCTTCAAAAGGCCTTGAGAATTTTTCCTTTCTGATTAAGAAAAAATAGCACTGCAATATTTTTAAAGTCAATTTTACACTGTACACATTAGATACAAATGGTTTTGATATATCAGATTTTTTTAAACCTATACATTGCGAAAGTCAAACCCCCCCTCAATTGGTGGAACAGAGAACAAAATTATCCATTTACAAGTTATTTCTCTGCTTTCACATTCCCACCACACCACTTTTTTAATATAATGTTTTAAACGTTAGATTATTTCAAGAAAAATACTTTTACAAAATCCTATTGTTATTACATTTTCCTTTCTGTTAACACCCAGGACATGGCAGTCTCTTGGAAGAACGTTCATAGTTTGCACGGTTCTCTGCACAGACGACTAGCGCCCAGGCCTGGCGAGAGCACCTCGCGGGCCAGCCCCACACCGCCCTCTGACAACACACCGCCAGCGAGGGCTGAAACGGAATCTGAAAGACAACCCTCTCGGGCCTGGAATGAGGAGTCATAAAATACTTCAATTAGCCACTAATGCTTTAAAAAGGCATTTTTTTAAAAAAAGTCCCACCATGAAGGCTCAACTTCAAGTACTAATTTAATGGTTAAGTTGTAATATTTCTTTGAAATAATATTACTATGGTCCAGAAAAAATTCACCATATTTGTAACTGATTTTCTGAGCAAACACTTTCGATTGTAATATGTACATGAGTCCCCTTTGATCTAATGAGAGGAGAGACCTGGCTTCCAATAAGAATTCACTAGAAAATATATCTCCATGGTGACTATATAAAACTAAGGAAGGTGCGTGCCTCCATGGCTCTAGGTTGGGCTTGACTGCCTTCTGTATAAAATGTTATCCTTCATGAAACGCTGGCCACATTAACAAGGAATGGGCAGAATGCTTACCCAATTTGTTCTTAGCAAAACCTGCTGCTGGATGGTTAGAAATATATTACTTTTTAGGCCTATCTCCCCAATTTGTTTTCACTCCTTTTCTGGTTCTTAGGACAGAGGTATGTAGTCAAAGAATCCTACAGTGGGTCTGAGTTGGGTTTCAGCTACTGTACCTGGTCCTCGCAAATTAAAAAAAAAAAAATCAAAAGTCACAAAAACCCTATGACAAAACAATTTAAAATAAATAAACAAAATGAAGATGTCTCCAGACTTTTGTATCTACACACAGGTATGAAGTTAGCCAAAGCACTCACGCCCCTCACGATGGGCGCACTGGGAGAGAAGCCCACGGTGAAATCATGTACTTGAGCTGGTTCTCATTTTGAAAAAGTCCTAGAATATGGAGTTCAGGTAACCCACAGGCCATACACCAATAACTAGAGGATTTCATCCAAAGGGCTAAACTACCCTTAGTTTAGACAGAGACTGAAAACACAGACTCTTGTGTGCAAAAGGATACCGTCTCTTCTGTTTCCCTCCTAAAAACCATCACCAGCCGAAACTTCCCACGAGCCAGGGGTCCGGGGTGCCCACGCCACACCCTGGCTGGAGTCACTGCTGTGGACGTTTCCGGGTCCATGAGGAAGTGTCTGTGAGTCACTCTGTAAGGAGCACTGCAGAGACAAGACGTGCCTGCGGAGGAGTCACAGTGCAGGCTGCGCAGTGGTCTCGGGAAGAGGGCGGGCACCTGCAGAGGGCAGCAGGGTCCATGACTGAGGCTGCAGGAGAAGGAACTGAGCCAGAGGACAAGTGCTTTTCCATTAGAGTATATTCATGATGGCGTTGTACAACTGAGTGAGCACCACAAAGTGGACGGGAAGGCAGGAGGTGCGGTCCTGGGTGGCCGGATTGCACGTGAGCCAGGACAGGGCGTTGTACTGCTCCAAAACAAACCTGCGGAGAGAAGACTCAGGTCAGGGCACGGGCATGGCAGGTGAGGTGATCGCAAATTCTAACATCCAGGTGTTGTACAAAGAGGCCTAATATCCTCCTGAACTTGCCCCAGGCTCTCTACTGTGCTCCTGCCTTTCACGGCCTCTCTTCCTTCTCGACCTGCCAGTCTCAGAGGGCAGCCACTGGCCACACAGGAACTCACATATGCTGTAAGTATACTAGTAAAACGGGCCCTGCTTTGCAAAGACTTAGCATTTAAAAAACATGTAAAATAGCTCCTGAATATTTTATACTGATTCCTGCTGAAATATTTTGGATATATTCGATGTTAATCCTGATATATTTTTTATATAATTGATGAATTTGCCACTAGGGTTAACCTCACTAATTTTTTTTTATTATGTAATGTGTCTACTAGAAAAGTTTTCATTACATATGTGGCCCACGAGGCCAGGGAAGCCAAAATCATAATGAGCCGGTTCTTGCTGAACTGTAATTCCCAAATCATTTAAGAATCTGAAAACCTTAGAAAAAGCTTGTATATTTTTTCAACATACATGAAGACTACTTATGGCCTCTTAAAATGCAAGAAACTTTGTACACACTTCTGGGAGGTACTCCCAACTATGGGGTTTTTGTAATTAACTGCATTTATAAAATTGATATGAGAGGTTAAAGATGTTTGCTTCCAGACTGCCTTCTAACTACCTGCCCTGACTGCAACCTAGCTTTGTCACCATGCAGCGCCTCCACTATGCAGGAAGCAAGGCAGCTGCACGTGCAGGTCACTGTCCTATTTACCAAGCCCACCGCCCTGTCCGCCCTGCGTCCGCGGGGGCCTGGCTCCAGCTGGCACCGTGCTCCCCTGCACAAGGCGGCATCTCTCCCACAAACACCGCACTTCAGTGAAAGCCCAGGAAAATCAAGAGCAAAGGAAGTAACTCCCAACGGTGCTGCTGTGCTGCCTGGGTCTGCACCCACCTCAGAACATCAGATGTGGTTTTGGAGTCAAGAGGATGTGGAACCCACTGAGAGGTCCGGGTCGGGAGAAGTTCGTCCGTCTGTGCTACAGAGATGTGGTGATGCAGTGACGCCTGCAGAGGAACAGAGACAGTGACCTTCCTGGTCTGGCTGGCCACGGCCAGAGAAAGGGCCAGGCCAGGCCTGCCAGAAGCAGGCGCTCTGAGGGTCCTTGGAAGCCAGGGCACCTATGAGCCTGTGAATTTTAAGCTGCTCAGTAACCCCAATGTGACCCCACATAACTCCATACCCTAAAGTTGAAAATAAAAGCTGGCACTGCCGATGATTACATCGTGTGTCCCTTCAGGTCTTACTCTATTGCCCCACTTGAATACAAGTGGTCACTGGATTCAGGAGGTGCCAGCACACTCCATCCACTATAAAGTCCCCTGTCAATTTTTAACTTAATGGTTTAGCATAGTCTTATTTATTAAATAGCTAAGAAATATAATATGTAAAGGAGAGGCAACAAAGTTGCTGAAATCTTTCTCTTTATTTTTCAATTTTTAGGTTAATGAATTGCTGCTCTGGCAGCTTCAATAGGTGACTGATAACTGTTTTTGCTTTTCAGCACAATTATGAACCCATGGACTTATTTCATCTATTGCTACCATCATTCTCTTCGATGACCAAATGGTACCATCCTTGGGCAATGGAAACCCTCCACCGGGTCCTTTGATAGGACTCTAATAATCTTAGGTAACTTCCTTGTTTTTAAGGATGACAAGATGCCTCAGGTTCAACTTGAATAATTCTTACTTCAGGTCTGGAATCAGTCACCTCTTCAAAGAATTCTGGTTCTTTTGAATGATAAATGGTATTTAGGAACTACAATCATAGCAAAAGAGGTGTGTATTACTACTAAATTGTCATTGCTCCTAAGCCTTTTCAGTAGACAGAGTTGAAATATGTATATATATTTTTAGAGAGGAAAGAATAAATGTAGGGCCATACTGACAATTCTAATTCAAAAATAAAGATTACATGAACTTTCATATAACTTCTTTGATTTCATAATAATATGTTAAAGTCATTAGGAAAAGAAAATTCCTTTAATTATTTTTGGTTTTAACGTTCCAGATGTGTGTGTGTGTCTTATACATTACTACACAGTAATCTATACTCCACAGATAATTACATAAAAATACTTCTCATTTTGTTATGGAAAACTAGTATTCCACTACTATAGTTTATTCAACCAGCCCCTACTGGTGGATATTTCAGCTGTTTCTAATCTTTCACATATGTCATTTTTTGTTTTTGCCAAAGTTTCTTTTGAATAGATTTCTAGAGTTGGGACTGCAGCATCTAAAGAGAAATGTGTAGGTTGTAGAATCTGGCTTCTCCCACAGCCCTGCAACAGGGTTCTGTTGTCAAACCTTTGGGTTTTTGCCAGCCTGTGGTTGAGAAATGGCGTTCTTTCCAGTTTCCTTCATCCAAACTGGAAGTGGGATTTCTTTTGTATTTAACCTTTAATTTGGATTAAAAGTTTCCAAGAAATACACAGGAAGGAGCAAGTGTAAACGTGGAGTTTTCTAGCCAACGCCTGCCCTACTCTGATGAGTGCTGACAGCCCGTGGCAGGGAAGGACAGCGGGCTGCCACCTCCACCCAGGCCACCTGCACTGACAGCAGTGCCATGGGAACCGGGGCAAAGACCATCCACAGAACCCGTGTCCATCCTAGAGGTACCCTGAGGGCTCCACCAAGTCCCCTCCTTGGGTTAATGTAATCCATTTCTTTGAGACATGGTTTTGGGTTCATCTCCTAAATCCACCTCTCCACTTATAACTGTAATTAAAATATCCTCAGAGTGTAAGCAGATGTGAGAGAACCAGGGAACAGAATAAGACCATGGTGACAGAAATTTCTAACCAAACAGCAAAAGTTACTCATCCTCCCCACTCCCCCCAAAACTTCAAATATGATACCAAACCAACCTTTAGGAAGAGGGGACACTGGTTCTGAGCCTGGGGACATGATGACCAAAACCACTGGGGGAGATTCTCAGCTTTGGCAGTTGATACGAAATACCCCAGGGCCAGCGGCTGCTGCTTCAGCTCCTCCGGAGCCTCTCGAGAAAGAAGGCGCTCGCCCTGGCTCTACAGAACAAGTGCCCAGCATGATCAGCGTTTGTTACCCAATCACACGATTTTAGAAATCAACTTAAAAACACACTGAGATGTAACTGACATAAAAACATTATATGAGCTTCAGGTGAACAATGTAATAATTCATACTTGGATATTTCTATCTATTGCAAAGTGATCACACAGTAAGTGGTTGACATAGTTACAACACAGTTTCCTTGTGATGAGAAGGCTTCAGATCTACTTTCTTAGCGACTTTCAAATATGTGACACTATTATTACCTATAGTCACCATGCTGTACTTATGTCCTGTGACTGATTTGTTTTATAACTGGAAGTTTGTACCGTTGACCACCGTCACCCACATTTTATCAAGTCACCCTGTACACTGTGGTGAGCAATCCCCTTTCTGGCAGCATCTCACCCCAAAATGCCAGGTGACCGAGAAAGGTCAGTAGGGGAGGCACTGTCTCTGCTGCACACGGATATCGGAGGGAAAGTACTGCTCTGGCAGAAGGTACCAGCGAAACCAATGACCTCAGTCAATTAAGTGCGAATTTATTTTCTTTGGTTTCTTGTCTGCAGAATGTAGCTTGTTGCGTGGCATTATTAGGTATCAAACAAAAAATGCAGAGAGTGAATCTCTGACAGCTAAAGGCATCTCTGCACTCATGGGCCAGCAGCCAACCCCAAATGCACAGCGCACCTGGCTGTGTGCTGTCCATGACACTGTCAGGACCACAGCCCTTCCCCGCTGCCTGCAGGGTGGACACTCCCGACTGACCTGCCAGCAATGTGAGCTGCTCCTGCAGAAGCTGCGTGAATGCCAGCAAGCCGTTCCTCCCTCACAGGCTCTTGTAAGAGACTCCTGTGCATTTCTGAAATGGGCATTTCCTCACCTCTGATTCTTTTAGCTAGCTTCAAGAGTTAAAAATACTAGTATAGTTTTCATGTAAGCAGTAACAAGTAATCTGTTTTCACGAGCCTTCTGTTTCAAGGGGGGGAAAATCCTCAACTACTAAACCAAGTTGTATTAGATCTGAGATGTTTAAAAGATAAAAACTTACTACAACCTTGAACAAATTCTTTCCCCTGTTGTAATGTCTTCACTGGATATCAAAGAATGTTAATGGCTCAGAAAAAGGAAATGCTAAAAACCTCTCAGGGGTCACCTGGCTATAGGTGCTCTGGATTGAGAAAGGCCACCTGACTAGCTAGCTTCAAAGCAGTGCAGTTTAAACTGTGGCATTCAATGAAAGCCTTTAGGGTCGGGGGCTCCAACAAAGAGAGAAAGTATAGCACATCTCTGTTTCTTATAAAATTAACATCACAATTCAATCACCAACTCTAATGAAGACACTGAATACGATCAGTAGTGGAGGCAGTAGTAGTATTTCCATTTCACAGATAAGGTAACTAAGGCTGAGAGGGGGAACGCTTGTCCAGGGCCACAGAGCTAGTCAGCCACACAGCTGTAACTCAGAGCTATATTTATCCACATCCAGGGCATGCATTCTTAGCTGATGATATGCTATTTGCCTCTAGAATTCACAGTAATCCTAAATTTAAAACTATCCAGTGTAAAAATTTGTGTTCCTATCACAAAAATCTCCAGAAAACTAATTGTCATCAACTGGAAAATGGTTTTTTGGGGAAATAAAGACATTTAGAATCTCTCCTTCCAGACGGAGGAGGTGGGGACAGGCAGTATCATGAGGGCAGTCACGGAGTGGACCTTCCCTGGTTTCACTGCTCTGTGACTAAAGTTTCAAATCTTCTTTCTCTGGTTAAACTCAGGGCTGGCAATAAAAGTCCCACCTGACAGAAGCCGAAGTCCTCTAAGTACACCTTTGTGTCTAAATGAGTTGAGCAGGGTTGCTTATATTTGTCCAGTTTGATACATTAGACATAGCAGTTCTTCTGTGTCTTAACCCCTCAGTCTCTTAATATTTTAAGTAAAAGTACAACAGTGATAAGGCATGAATCCTCAAGCATTTAAACAAAGCATGAGCAATGGCCGAGCCTTTGACTCTACAGTTGATATCCCTATGACATTTAAAGATGAAACTACTTGTAAGCTCTGGTTTTTTCCTTGATACTCTAGCATCAACCTAAACACTTCTCCAAAGTCAGCCTCCTGTGGCTTTCCTGTGAGCTGGCTGCAGAGGAGATGGGGACCACATGCCGTGAGGCACCACAGCACGGAACACAACCGGCAGGCTCCTTTCAGAATAATCACCCATCAAGGATGTGTCCTTCAGTTAACACAGTTACTTTGCTTTTAAATAAGTAGGACTGTCGACCTGGCCTCTGGAAAATCACTCTCTGGGCAAAAATTAAAAAATAACCGGGAAGCAGCAAGTTACCCAAACTAACTTTTGTTAAGAAAACAGTGATTGCACACAACCCTTCCAGCATTAATAAGACTATTCTTCTGAAAAAACGTATTTATCAGGAATAATATACTTCCCCACACTTATTTTTCTTGTTCCAAGGACCCAGACCAACGAGAAGAAAGGTGCACGGAGTAAAAAGATGGCCCCGCCTCTGGACTGTTTTGCTGAAGACTGAGATGGTTTCGCACAGCCCCCTTCACACCATCCTTACCCGGCTGTGCTGGAAGTGAGAGCCCACACCGATTCCAGAAGGAGAGCCGGGGGAAGGGACCGGGGAGGAGTTGGGGGAGGGGAGGTTCCCAGTCATTAATATGCCAATGTCATTGTCCATATCATCTGGGAATGGAAGGTCAAACATGTCTAGAGGGAAGAGAGAAAAAAAACACACAAAAATTTAAAAAATTATCCACATACCCAACTTAACCAATACACTCTTTTTGGGGAGCTATGATTATTACAGGCAGGTGCTGTTAACAAATTAGTAAGATTTAATGTGTGCGTACTGAGTTCAAGGTGCTGCAAATTATTCTTTCACTTTGCACCCTCTCCAGAGATATCCTAATGTGAAGTATTAACAGAATGAAGAAATAAAGAACATAAAATAAAACTCCACATTCTGTACAGACTCCAAAGGTACATAAAAAGATGGCAAAACAACTAAAGAAGCAATTTAATTATTAAACAAAGTTAACATTGACACCATCTAAGAAAACAACAGACTCCATCTATGCAGCCAATTAGCCTCTAAATCCTGGAAGCTGATGAATGCATGTTAATAGGTGTGAACTCGCCCTGAAACTGGAGGCCTATTCCACAAGCAGATCAAAGCACCACGTTTTCATTAAGAAATTCTCTCCCATGTTATAAAAGTAAGATACTCTCACTGCAGAAAATTTGGAAAGAAAAGTACAAAAGAGGAAAACCATCACCCATAACCCAATCACCATGAACACTGGTTCTGATTCTTTTTCTCCTCTTTGTTATTACATTGTGCTCACACTATATATGTATATAGTGTACATACATATAGTGTGGTATCTTTTTACCTTCCCCCTTTAATAGGAGTAAATGCTGGCAGCTGTTAAAAATTCTTTAAAAAATGCAAATAGCTGCATAATATTGAGCATTTATAGTTATAAATAACCATTTCTTAATGAATGCCTTAATATATTCAATCAAAAAAACCTTATTAAGAATAATCAAGTAAAAAGTTGTTTTTGAACAAATTCTCCTCCCAGTGATTAGCTAAAGGCAGTTGCTATCATCATATTGCCTAGTAGTCTTCATACTTTCACATCAGATCAAGAAATATTTATTGAAAGAGTAACACCCACATACAGTACACTACCAAACAGATACTACTTTCTGTCTTTCATGAAAAACAAGAGAAAGTGAATTTCCCAAAAGAGGAAAGTATTTATTTGGTATTGGTAACAGAGCAGACAAATTAAATCTTCAAAACCAAACTGATTCTCCAACCTTCATAAGCCCCTCTTCATACTTCATGTGTTATCACAACACTGAACAGCCTGCAGCGGCCCCTTGACTCCACACCCTAGCTCTGTCTCTTGTGGAAGAAGCTGAGTTCTAGGTAAACATGGTCCCCACTCACCATTGTTGGGGCTAAACCCATCTTCATTGGGATAGTTGGCTGGAGCCACTTGGATGGTTGAAGATGTTGGGAATACCAAGATGTGTGTACAAGAAGCATCTTGAGGGGTGTTAAGCTGAGATGACTGCATGTTTAGTGCAGTACTTCGGCCAAAAACAGAGCCCATTGTGACAGCATCTTTAAAAAAAAAAGTATCAATTCCTTTTGTGCAGGAGTGAACAACTCCAGAAATGACGTGTTTAAGAGGATCTGAGCTGGAAAGATAGGAGTCTGACACAACTGCCATGATGAATACACATTCAAAGTTGAGCCCAAGTGTTTAAATATCTATAAGAAACTGACTCGGAGCATACAGCTACAATAACTCAAGCCTCATTTCATATTGGAAAGGTTAAGATAAAATTGGACTGAGTCTACCAAATAGGTTTTAATTACTTATATAAGAAGTATTTCTAAAAATAAATCTCCCACGTCCCTTCCTTCTGTGGGTGCTCACAAATTGTAAAGTACTATTCTCCTAAATGATACAATTCTGTAGAAATGGTACCATTCAACTAATAACTGTTATAACTAACACTTATTAAATGCTTACTACATCCCAGATTCTGTGCTACATTATTTATTCGTGTCACCTCATTCAATCATCATGGCCACCTCAAGATAAGAACTATTATCCCCATTTTGTGATGAGGACAGAGCACAAAGAAAGTTTTGTAATCTGCTCAAGTGCAGGCAACAATCAATCTAAGGTCTACCGAGCAGGCCCCTGCAGGCCACCTGTCTCACACCCAATCCTATTTACCTTTACAGGGAGCGAGTGGACAGGGTCTCCCATTTGATGAAAAAAATATCTGGGTGGTAAAAACAGTCTTAAAAGTATAAAATTGCTTTGTCATAAAATTATAATAGTGTAGTTGCTAATTTGTAAATAAAAAACACCACACTCTAGCCTGGCCATCGTGGCTCAGTGGTTGAGCGTTGACCTATGAACCAGGAGGTCATTGGTTCGATTTCCGGTCAGGGTACATGCCCGGGTTGTAGGCACGATCCCCACAAGGGGGCGTGCAGGAGGCAGCTGATCAATTATTCTCATCATTGATGTTTCTCTCTCTCTTCATCTCCCTTCCTCTCTGAAATCAATAAAAATATATTTAAAAAAAACCACTCTGTGGCCACAATGTTTTGGCTATCCATGTACTGGTACTTGTTGAGAATTTACTGTGGTCCAGGCACTAAACTAAATGTTTCACCCGTATGTGCACCATTCATCCTCAACTATGTAAGAGAGACTCTAAATATGTTCTCTCAAGGCTGCTTAGAGATTCTGTCAAACATCTATCTTCAAAAGGATATTCAAATATGTATCTTGCTGGTGTCCGTTAATCATTTTTGGAGGGTGATCCTGATAATCTAACAACAAACTGGGGGCAGGCAATAGTTATCAGCCATGACTCTAAGACCTCACAGTCATAGCCAGAGTGTAGGCTCTCTCCAAGGTGTGGTCAATAAAGATAAGAAAATCACAAACTATGTCCCTTGGAAGAGACCAAATGGTTTCCATTTTTGAACCCTAAGTACAATTTTTCTTATAAAAATAAAAAAATACAGATACATTCTACACTTGTCTATGAACTTAAGTTTGAATGAACGAACTGATGTGATGCCTCATTAATGAAACCGACAAGAGATTTACCTGGCATCACTACAAAGGACCCCTGGGGCTCCATGGCAACCAGGCAGGCACTAAGGATAGAAGGAGAGTCTGTGGCAGAGATTCCACACATCCGGCACATGTCCTTGAGCCGTTTACTGATTGTCTGCAGTGAACATTCTCCAAGGAGGATACTCCAATCTGAAACCAAGTATCACAGTTATACGCAGTCTTTACAAATTCATGTTGCTGTGAGGTTTGACTGTTTTACCAGTGTTTCCAGGATTGGGCCCTACTGGGAATGTGGCTTCCCACAGGTTCCTCTCCTTGCTATAAAGAACACGTTACTTGACCTTTATTACACTTCATTAACAAAGAAATAAAGGTCTACTATTCTGTAGACTGCAGCCATGTCTGAAATGGCCTGTGAGCATCCAGGACAGACCCAGGTACTAGGAGATTTATACACTTCAGATGCTCTCTGGTGAGGCCACCAGTCTGTTCTATCCCTCCTCCTCCTTCCCCAGGTCTGGTTCTTTCACAGCCCCTATCAGCACTTTCTTCAGAGGTGAGTACCATTGGGAAAACCTGTTTTGTTTACTGCTTGCCGTAGACTGGTTGTTTCCACGAAAGGCAAGCAGCAGCAGAAGCGAGGGGGAGCCTTTCTTAGAAAGCCCCAAAGCACTAACAAACAATGGGTGTGAGTGAAGTGCTCCAAATGAAGCTGCAATAATTAGGCAGATTAAAAGTTGGCATAAATTTTCTTTCTAATATCTGTGTACTGCCCCCAAACAAATGGCATTATATCGTCTCAGAGAGCTGTTAGGGTTATGTTAACTCTGGGAAATGAAAAGACGTGGTCACACTCCTGCCACCATGTCACTGATGAAATGCCACTCCTGCAGGCTTCTCTAGCTCTATATGTTTTCAAACAAGCAGTTCTCTCCTGAAAGAGAAGGTGAAAGGAAAAAAATTTCCTATTTCATATTCCTAATGAACCTCAAACTGAAGTGGCTGAAATAAAAGTGGCCAGGAACACAAAGCAGTATTTTTTAAAACCACAGAAAAATAAAACAGATTAAGTTTTGTATTTAAAAATCAAGTAAGAAGAAAAAGGTGGTATAAGTATTTCTATCACAAACACTCTGGTGATAAAGAACAGAAATTCACCAAGCTGACTGAAATCTACAGGCTCCTGTCCGATACTATCCCATAGAAGCAATGTGTGCAGACCTCCGATCCCTGAAGGAAGAAGCCATGGGTCAGTAAACTGATTTCCTGTGTGCTAGGCTCTTCTCTGTGTTTTCATTCCTTGAAAGCGCATTTTCTCTCGGTCACACTTACACATTTCCCCTCTCAGAGACAAGAGGAGTGTGCCTTTCTAATAAATCATACAGGGAGGGCAATGGCCTAATAATTTTGCAAAACACTAAGTGATGAGGCTACGTTTTGATCCCCTCTTCTTCTTCTCTATTATATTCTAACTTTCCCCAAGGGTTAAGAGTAGCTCAAAACCTTTAAGAAATAAGATTGACTAAAAGGCATACTAGAAGAGGAGATAGGAAATCTGACAGAAATAAAATGATGAACCCCCTAATGTAATAGGCCTCCAGGCTACTGATATCAGATTCATTATAAGTACAATAGTCTTTAAAAAATGAAAAGGGTACATACTATCTTCTATTAGTCTACAATATAATTTATTACTAAAATAATGTATGTACAATGGGTTTCTAAGAGAACACTTATTTAATACATATTATATATTTGTATAATTGCTGTAACACCCTAATAACTCACTCAGGCACTTGCTACAATGCAAGTTATATCTGTATCACTTATTTGTGGAATCCCTGAAATAAAATATGTTTCATGTAAAAAATAAATAACATGTGCACCCTAATACAAGCGTCAACAAACCATGGTCCCAATGCCAATTCCTGCCCGCCAAGTTTTTGTAAATAGTTTTATTGGAACACAGCCTCGCCTATTTACTAAGGTGTTGTCTATGGCTGCTCTGAAGTTACAATGGCAGAGTTTAGTAGTTGTAACAGTGACCAGCTAGCTTGTAAAATAAAAAATATTAACTATCTGGCCCTTTATAAAGAAAGTTTGCTTTTCTGCTCTAATACACATGCAAGCACAAAACCACCTGTTTTTGCTTTTGTGCTGACCTTAGAAAGAAACCTCTCCCATCTCTATGCATATATTGAACTTTTTATAGATGTGTCATTAATTAATAAGACTTCTGAAAGAAAGCTAGGCTTTTAAAATTGTACAAGTAGCTGCATTAGGTTAGTAAATGAGCTGGGCTTAAGGTTTGGCAAGACAGCTGCTAGTGGTCAACTGTGTTACGTTAGTTACTTTCAGTGCTTTGTGATGGTTGTATTTGCAAGAAATGATAAGCAGTTGGTATATATATCTGGGAATTCAGCTTCCAGACCGAAGAATATCAGAAAGTGGCAAGGTGAATAAAGACCGTTCCAATTTACAACCACTGGTCCTTTTAAATCAGGGTTATCTTGCTATTGTGCTGCCAAAGCAAAATCTAGAAATACAAAACTTGTCTCTGTCAACCACTAAAACAAAGAACAAAAAAAACTGAAGGCTGTTCTTATATATGACTTCTTCTATCATTAGTAACCTCTGACATAAAATCTGTGTGAAAACTGACTTGTACTTTTCTTTGAATCAATATAAAAAAAGCATTAGAAATTCTAATATACTGAGTATGCTTTTTATATTAATAAAACATTCTCTGTTTTATACAGTGGGGTTCACTATTTAAGATTTTCTTTGATTGAGTACATGGTTTTGTTGCCAATGAAAAGTTTAAAAATCACTGGTTTCTTGTACACTTAAAAGAATGTGAAAATATAATCTGCTTTATTCTTATTACCAATTCTACAATTTTCTCCCTCAGCTCAATGAATGCATCAGCTCAGCCCTTTTCCATTGTTTCTTGTGCATATTGCCTTCAAGAATTTCTCACCTTTAAGCTCCCCATGGCCAAGACGCCCGAGTCGCCCAATAACAACTCTCCAGGGTAGAGATGTCATTTGGACAATACCTATGCACCATTCCCATAACTTCTGCAGTCCAATTTTACGTGCAGACACTTTACTCTTCCGTGATCTAAACAAGAAAAAAATGGGGAAACGGTCCCCAAATGAATCAAAGTTATCACTCGGACAAAACCAACAGGATTCCAAAGAACCCACCCACACAGTACCCAATGCATTTAGAAAGAGAAATGAGAAAGACTTATATCTCAAAAAGGCACAGCATCACTTTACATGCACCACAAACACCAAGGTTGCTCACCTGTTTGGTAAAGCAATATTTACAATGCAGGTTTCTAGTAACTCCCCATGGAGGTCAGTGCAGGAAGCCAAAAGCCAGCGCTGATCATGAGACAAACAATAGCCCACAAAGAGCACATTGTATTTCTGGCTCGCTTCACCAAGTATCTCTCCCAGCTCTGTCTGCTTGTCTTTGTTTGGGGCCTCTGTCTGCTTGTCTTTGATTGGGGCCAATATAAAAGGAGGGGAGTAAAGCTGGATTGGGCTGGGCCGCTGAAATCAAAATCAAAATCAATATCAGCACAAAGCCACTCAACTTCATGTTTACAACACAACCCAGAGCAGCACTGAATGAAACCAAGAGGGAATAATGGTAACAGACTGCCCCCCACCAACACCATATATATAAACAGCAATGATAACACAGGCACCGAAAAGACTGTTTAATGATAGAAGCTAGGGCATCCAACCAAACCAGTATTTCCTTACTAAAAGAAATAACTATTTTAGAAAGTAAACTGGCCCAACTTCATTAGTCATTAGAAAAGTGGAAATTAAAACCATAATGAGACACCACCACACACCCACCAGAATGTCTGAAATAAAAAAGACAGACAACACCAAGTATTGTTCACAATAGTGTTAATCATGTTAGCTGCAAACAGAAAATGGCCTAAATACCCATCAACAGTACTAGTAAGATGGATGATACATTGTGATATAGACGCACAACCAGAATATTAAACAGCAAAGGAAATAAAAAAACTACCACTGAAAGCAACAAAAAAGATGAATCTCAACACTGAATAAAAGAAGCCAGACACAAAAGGTTATAAATTATATGATTCAATTTATATAAAAGTCAAAAAATAGACAAAACTATGTTGTTATAAGTCGGAGTAGTGATTACTGCTGGACTGACAGGAAGGGATCAGAAGGGAGAGCTTTTGGGGTGCTTGTTACATGGTATGTTTACTTAGTAAAATTCATCAAGCAGTACACTTAGGATTACTTTTCAGCTTGTATATTATACTTGTGTGTGTGTGTAATTTAAGAAATCAAAGCAATAGCTGTTATCCAGGACAAACATTTTAGATAAACTGTGATAAAATTTAATCGACTTTTCAATATTTAATAAACATCATCTATGCTATGACATGGATGAACCTCAAATATTATGCTAAATGAAAAAAGCCAGACATAAAAGAAGATATATTGTATGATTCCATTTATATAAAATGTCCAGAACAGGCAACCCATAGAGACAGAAAGTAGATTAGTTGTTGCCAGGAGCTGGAGGAAGGGCAAAATGAGGAGTGACTGCAAGTAGGTATAAAGTTTCTTTCTGGACTGATGAAATGTTCTAAAGTTAGGCAGTGATGATAGCTGCAAACTCCGTGAATAAACTAAAAATCATTGAACTATGTAATTTTTAAAAGGTGATTTTTATATGTGAATTATGTTTCAATAATTAAAAAAAAAAGAGTCCAGTCAAGGCTGCCTGAAAAGTTTTGTGTGAAACAACAGGTTAAGTGTCAAATATATGAGGTGCAATAAAAAAAGAAAAATAAATATCTGAGATGCAATAGACAGCTTGTGATAAGTCACTAGGTAACATATTCTTCCCAAACTCTGTTTTTAAGATGCTGGATGTTCTATGAAAAACAAAAGTGATACTAGTGGAAGATTTCTTCTAAAACTTGCATGATAAATACTAAGATACAGTCTTCCTTATGTGGAAACGTGCTTGCATGAGACTGTACCACTGTGGAGAGTTAGACTTCCCAGAAGCAGGGGCCTGGTGGTTTGGTTCCCCACCCGCTGCATCCTCATCACCTAGTACAGGGCCTGGCGCACAGCAGACACTCGGCTTTGTTTAATGAATGAAAGGCGGTATTCTAGCTGCAGACTGAGGGAGAGGCAGCATTTGGCAATTCATCATTACTGCAATGCAAGTAAAAATGTACAAACCTCAGTAACTATTCATAACGTTTGGTTTTCTTTTGTTTTTAATAAACTCAAGTGATTTATTTCTCTCTTCCTGTTTCAAAGCAAAAGGGAAAAAAGCACATTTTTTCACTTATTTTCTTCTAAGCCTCACTTTATCTCATAAACTCCTGATGGCGCTCTGCCACAAAGTTATAATCTTTAAAAATGTTACATCATGCCTTGGGATATCCTTTACTCTCCTCTATGAAAATGCAGAATACTATTAATTACCATTTGAAGTTGTGATAAATTCTTATCAAAGCATAAGAAATGACTGCATCTGAACTGTGGAATAACCACAAGAAGTAAAAAAATTAAGTTTATAAAGAAATGCAGTAACTCATAATTTCTGAGACAAAATAAGAAACAGAAGAAAAACTGATTTTTTTAATTTTAGAAAAGCTAATAGAGAAAATAGATGAACTGCTCACAAAAATAAAGATTCAAACTCAAAAGAACAAAACTGCCAAATACAGAAATTTTATATAAGCCAGAAAGAATGTAGGTTGTCAGCTAAGCAGCTTCCTCTCCTGGGACCAAGCTGACGTGAACCAAGTTACAATAAATGCAGTATTATCTAGAGTTCCATCATTTTTCCATTTCTAAGTTTTTACTTATTGAAGGGAAAGCATTTTATAGGGTTTTCAAAAAACCCCCCAAAACACAAACACTCTTTCATTGCCAACTAAAATCAGCAGTTTTGTTGGCTTTCACTAATAGGTAATCTTCCATGCAATACATTTGTGGGAACTACCTTCTGAAGGCTTTGAACATGTTAAACTTTGCCCTGTGCATCTACCTTCAGTGAAAGGAGGTTAGGAAAACAACAGAAGTGCACAACTTTGTTTAAAACAGCTTGGTTTTGGTGTTTTGGAATCCCCATGAGGTGCGTATCTGTGGGAGGTAGTTACTAAGATGGAGAGAAAAAGCATTCATTTGTAACAGAAGCCCTGAGAGGAGAGGAGAGGAGAAGAAAGCAGTGCATCAGAAAAGGAGGGGCCCTTATGAAATAAACACCCACACAACTGCTGATCAAGAGAGAACTGGAGAAGGTAGAAAGTTAGTGACTGAAGACACAGATTAGGTTCAAAAAATAAAGAACAAGGTAAACATAGGAGAGGCAAACATAAGTAAAAGTAATAAACATATTGTTGCCTTAGGTCCTAGATCAAAAAATAGCAAGAGTTTGCTTGCCTCTTTCTCAAAAAACTTTACGAGTTCAGAGGAATCTCTCTTTTATTTGACTTAAGGATTTAACTACCATTCTTAAATAAAGGAGGAACAAATTCAGCTACCGACTCCCCTGGCTTTCTGCAAAGGTCTGCCCTGCTACTACTCACCTCCGGATTCTTGAGGGTCATCTCAATGCTGGCGGCAGGCCCGAACCCTGTGAGGGACTTAATGTGGATCTGTGTAGGCAGAGGTCGCCTGCACTGGCAGTACACTGAAAATGCCATGGACTTCAAGTATTGAATGTAGAGAACTTGTTCATCCTTCATTGTCTGCAGCATGGACTGGCAAGGCACAATCTACAGACACAAACACAAATAAAACTAGAAACTGAGATCAAACATGCTAATAAGAAAGTTGAAAATAAAATGGCAGGAATTCTTAACTTGAATGGGGAAGAGAATTTTAGTTGTAAAATATATGAATGCCAAACATAATATACTCAATCTTAATTCCTTTCAGTGAGATAAAATCCTGTATTCCAAATGTACACCAGCAATTTAAGAAGAGGTGCCACTGTGTTGGTCAAGTTACACTGTCACTTAGAAATAACCCTGCTCCTATTTTAGGGGTAAATTATTAATGTACTGTTTCTATGTCCCCAATTTTAAAACTTTTTAAAATAGATTTATCATTTATATACACACACATAGAGTGCATAGCATCTTTGGAATTATTGTCTAATCATTTGAGAAACAAATGTCAAAACAATAAAAAACTATTAACAACCTATTCTGGTAACTTTAATTTTGACCTTTTAATTCTGTAAGATACTTTATTTAAAGTAACAGTAAAACAAAACCCAAGCAACTAAGGCATTGTTTTCTACCTATTATATTATAAAATTAAAAACAATTATTATGCCGTCAAGCTGTCAAGGGTGCGGTGAAAATGGGCATGCTCACTCATGATGAAAAAAGTGTAAGCAAGTAGAACTTTTTGGGAAAGGAATTTGACAATGCTTATCAGAATCTATAGCTAGGAATCTACTTTAAGAAATGACCTGAAATGTGAGAAAAATATTATACATAAAGATGTTTGTTATGGCTTTATTTATAATAGTAAAAAAGTGGAAGCAAATTAAGTAACTGTACAGGCATGATTAGATAAAAAAGATATGCAGTCATTAAAAATGTTGCTGTGAAAATTTTAAATAACATGAAAAAGTATTCATGAATAGCATTAAATACAAAAAGAATATCCTATATAATAAAAGGCTAATATGCAAATCGACCAAACGGCGGAATGACCGGTCAGTCGCTCAATGCAGGAGCTGCCCCCTGGTGGTCAGTGTGCTCCCACAGGGGGAGTGCAGCTCAGCCAGAAGCTGGGCTCACAGCTGGTGAGCGCAGTGGTGGTGGTGGGAGCCCCTCCTGCCTCTGCGGCAGCGCTAAGGATGTCCGACTGACGGCTTAGGCCGGCTCCCCATGAAGCCGTCAGTTGGACATCAGTCAGTCCCTGCCCCCTGGACTGCAAGAAGGCGCAGGCCAGGCGGAGGGACCCCCGCCGCCGCCCCCCAACTGCACAAATTTTGTGCACCGGGCCTCTATTAAGTTATATTAAGTGTGATCTCAACTGGGTAAACAAACATACAGAAAAAAGGCTAGAAATACACCAAAATGGTAATGAAGGCTGAATTGAATGTACTTCCAATAATTTAAAAAATCATGAACTTGTATTTACTTTCATATACTAGTAAACAACAACAAAGGCAAAAAAATAAACTTGCAAATACTTACCTGGAGAATGAAAGAATTTCTCATATGCTCAGGTAAATTATCCAGCATCTCTGTGTAGCAGCGCATCAAACTCAACAGCCAAAAGTTTCCAGAGGTAGAGTCTTCCTCTGCAGTGTAGGTGAAGGGGTCCACCATGTAAATGACAACAGCTGGAGGATAGGCCTGGCTGTCTGCGGAGTCAGGCTCCGTGGGAATTCCTATTCTCTCCCTCTCTGTAACACTGCAGAGAAAGTCACTTATGAGATGCAAAAGTAAACATTAATTATATAAAAAAAAAGTCAAGTCTAGTGCACACTGACTCGTTGGGCAATGATTACAGATGAAATGTAACATTAACATTTATCATATTACTGAAATAAAGGCAAACCAAGCCAGTTAGCACCCAAGATAGATATAAATGACAGTAACTGCCTCTAAATGGGAGATCTTTTTCCTGAAGCTGTATTCTACAAAGATGGTTTATAATACTATTATATTAACAGTAATAGCTTACTTTTATCCATATATTATATTCATATAGTAACAAATATGTTAATAGTAATAGCTTACTATTAAGCTAATCTATATATATATAAAAGTGTAATATGCAAATCGACCGGGTGGCGGAACAACCGGTCTCTATGATGTGCACTGACCACCAGGGGGCAGACGCTCAATGCAGGAGCTGCCCCCAGCCCGTAGGCCCCAATTGCCTGATTGGGGCCTGCCAGCCAACCTCTCAGTCCCTCCCCCCAGGTTGGCAGGCTCTGATCACCCGATGGGTAACGGGGAACTGGGGGTGGATGGCGGCGGACACAGATGGTGAGAGGTGGAGCCAGCTGCCGGCAGCTGGGGAAGATCGACCCTGATTGCAGGCCTGGCCTAGGGACTGTGCACAAATTTCATGCGCCAGGCCTCTAGTAAGTTTAATAATAAATTAAATAGGTAAGTTAGTTTATAAGAAGTCTCATATTTTTAAAAATATATATTTTTATTGATTTCAGAGAGGAAGGAAGAGGGAGAGAGAGAGAGAAACATCAATGATGAGAGAATCATTGATTGGCTGCCTCCTGCATGGCCCCGACTGGGGATTGAGTCCACAACCTGGGCATGTGCCCTTGACCAGAATCAAACCTGGGATCTTTCAGTTCGCAGGCTGATGCTCTATCCACTGAGCCAAACTGGCTAGGGCAAGAAGTCTCATATTTCTTAACACTGAAGCTGCTGATTAACAGCTGTTATTTTCTCTTGTGAAGAAGAAAATCAGAGTCCTTTACTGGATTTAGAGACTCTCGAGGTTGATGGGGAGAGAAGGGTATAGAAGGCAAGTAGATAAGAGTCCACATGAAGCCACCCACCTAAATCAATGAGTAACATACCTTTCTTGTCCGTCCTGTGAGGGCTGAGAGGAGCTCTGCCCAGGCTCAGGGTCTCCACCACAGCCTATGTTCCCTTGCGTCCTATCAGCAGAACTGGCCCCAGTGCTGGGGTTCTGCCCTCCAACACTACCACTGAATCCTGACGAAGAGGTAGTGCCTAGCTGGCTAACGACGGGAGCAGAGGCAGACGATGAGACCGGTGGCACGGTGGAACCAGACGTGGAACTACTTGCTGCAGGGTTCGCAGAACTGCCATTGGAGGTGGGATTAAATGCACCGCCGGCGGAGGGAGCTGCTGACCCTGCATTTGCAGGTAAAGGCCCAGTGTTCCCAGGAGTAGCTTGTCCCTGTGCTGCTGCTGGTGGGGTCTGGTACTTAGGTGGCGTCAACAGGCTGCTATCGAGCTGCAGAGTGGCTAAATAAGGTGCTGAAAGAATATATGCAGAGCGACATTAGTGAGGTTCTGCAGTGTTAGACAAAAGAAACTCAGAATGGTCACTTTTTTTAAAACTATGCTTTCAGGCTGCAATATTCTGGTTACGACACCCAAAATGCCATCTCCACACTTGAACACATGCTTATATATCCCACAAACACAGAAATGGACATGGAAATACTTATTATAAATACTGGAAAAGAACCTTGCTTGAAAAGAAAGAAAATCATTTATAACATTTTCCTTTCAGACTGAATCCATAGGCCATCACTGAAAAATGGGAGACCAGCCGTCGTGGTGTATATTATGCTCTTATGCATAGAGGGCTTTACAAGCTTCTTAGATTTTCTTGTGAATCTGGGTTAAAATTAAGCAGTTAATCTTAAGTCATGCTGCTAAGTTTTTGAACTCTGGAGTAAATTAGATATGACTTCTTTAGGCAACTTTAAATAGCTTTTAAAGAACATACATGCACATGAAAGTTAGCATTTAACTAGAATGCAAAAATTAGATCTAAATAAACACAGTAGTGGAACATTAGACAAAAGAAATATAATGTTGCACCCTAACAGGTGTGTGTGGGGGTGCAATTTGCTATTTTCTCTCTCAAATTCTACTTTTCCAAATAAATTCCCATTTACCTAGGTGATGGCGGCAAACTTGCGCATAAAGTTTGAGTCTGGAATGATTGTCATTCTCCTCGCTGCTCCACGGCTGGTTAAACCACTCACTCACAAGCTCGTCGGTCAGCTTCTGTGCCACGGTCTTCCCCACACGCATGATCCCATCACGTAGCACTTTGCAGATGGGCTTGTGCTGCCCAAGCCTACACATCTGATACCACAAACAAGACCATTACTTACGACAGAACACATCACCTTGTTCAGCACATAGTGTTAGCGAGGCACATTCTGTACCATAAACATGGAGGCATTTTCCTTTTTCTTTTTAGTGTGACCACATGCAACTACACCAACATTATAAACTGGTCCTATTCGGTAATTATTATGTACCCTGGTAATACTGCTGTATATTTCTCCAAAACCTGGAGTAGCTGCTCTACAGAAAAATAAGTGTTTCTTCTGAAGAAATGTTTCTGCAGCCCAGCCCATTCATTCTTCCAGCCTGAGGAAAAACTGCGGAGCACTGACTGCTAGGGGTCAAAAAGGAACTAACAGGTTCCTGCCTACTAAGGCTAACCAAGACATCTGGTTAGAGAAGGGTATAGAAGAAAAGTAGAATTTCTTCACTTGCAAAGAAATTCTTCTACTCAAGTGAAAAAAGTAATTTATTATTTATTATTGGAAAGAATACAATGGAAAATAGGTTACTCTATATAAGTAAAGAGGTTAACTATAGAACTGCTTAAGAGGAAGATGGATCTACTTAGGGATTATTTCCCTCATTGACCCTGATTATGCCACCAATGTTTAGAAAGCTTAATTCCAATACTGACTTTAGGAAAACAAATATAAACTTAAGACTATTTTGTCAGTGAATCAAGGACTTGACTAAAGCTGCTTTCCAGGAAACAGAAAGTTGAGAAGGCACTCATGTCACAATATAGGCAACATCATGGTGGCCCCCATATGGGCCCAACAACAGCCTCTCTCATAAACGGCTCAGGAGACTCTTCCTAACAGGTTCCTGCCTACTAAGGCTAACCAAGACATCTGTCCACTAAAACCTCTTAAGGAATCCCCACTCATAACATTTTCCCATAAGACAGCATTAAAATGCATGGGCCATCTGTTAGATTGTTACAGACATTTGGAGATCACTAATAGTAGAGGCCACGGAAATGCTGATCACTTTTATAAAGTAAATAGTTGTTTTAGCATGAGATGCTGTTGTCAATTTCTAGGATACTAAATGGCAGATAATTAATATACCTGCCAAAAGTAAACTACTTAACTACCTGCTCACCAGCATGAGAGCCCATATTATTATCCCTTGCTAGAGTTAATGAACTGAAGGCTTACCAAGGCCCTACAAAATCTTAAGCAGGTATGTATTGCTGCCAAATGAAAGTTCTTAAGATCTAAAAAGATCCGGCAAGCCTTTTATGTTTTGTAACTTATGTGTAGGCTTCATTCAAGAGAATGGCTGGGCTTTGAAATTGCTTAGACAAGTTTTCTGTGTTAGGGTAAGTATGACTTAATATTATTTTGTATCCATGGGCCAGGCACTGTTTAGAAACTACTGTATCCAAGGGTTTCCGTCAGTGGCTTAACTGATGCCATTACCTAATACGTAGCATTGCCTCATTTCTTTGCAGCAACACATACGTCTACTACTTCATGTGTATTCATGTTTATAGAAAGTGGATGTTCTGCTATGGAATATTTTTGAAACTCAACTTGGCATCTTATTTAACAACCACATTTGTAATACTTATAATATGCCTGTCACAGTTCTAAACACTTTACAAAATCTCATTAACCAATGTCACCCCAATAAATGTAATAAAAAAACTTATTTAATTTAATCTTGCCAAATATGATATCAGAAGTAAAAAGTACAAAGAACTTAGTGTGTGTGTACTTTGGCAGAAGAAATGTGGTACTTTCTCTTCAAAGACAGACATGATTCTAATTTTTCAAAAGTAACAGGAATTTATGTACTAAATATATAAAATTATCTACCTGGCTGTTACATTATGATGGTGATTACATTCTTAATGTGTATCAAATTTTCAGTATTAAGATGAATGTAGTGTTAAACAAAACATAACAGGGGCATGATTCATTAAATGTATCTTTTGATTTAGAAATTTTCAAGCTGAACATTTTTATACAGTTCTACCCTCCCCACAAAAAGAGTAGCCACGCCTTCTTCTTGCACAGCTCATCTTCTGACTGCCCTTTCCCCTGGTGAACAATCCTTTCAAACCTGAACACATCAATGGGGGAAAATAGCTAACAGGATTTAAGATGTGTGGTAAGGCTAGTAAAGGAAAGTCTTCTAAATCTAATGAAATATAAAGCAAGATGGAAACGCAATTTATTCCTAGAAAAACTTCCCAACTTAATTTTTTCCTTCATCTTCCAACTAATTGCAAATTTTCTTTAAGATCTACTTTGAAGATATTTATTCTTTAAAATTTAGTCATAACCAGAAACAATATGAGGACTCATGTCAAAGAAATAGTTTCCAGGTCTTCCTCACCTCATATACAGCGCTCAAGTCCCTGAAGAAAGTTTTGGCTCCTTCGAGCAAGGCCTCATTTTCTGGACACACCACAATATAGGCAACATCACGGTGGCCCCCATATGGGTCCAACAACAGCCTCTCCCAAAACGGCAAGGAGAATGGCGAGATGGTGAGGAAGTCTTTGTCATAGCCTACCAGCAGGGTGGGGATGGGCAACGGCTCAGGAGACTCTTCTGAACCTAAAACAACAGTGCAGTTTAGGAAGGGGCCTGGGAGTCTGATTCCCACAGCTGAACCATTTGGAAGTTCCTGGTGCCCTTGTCTTAATTCTGGCAGCAGAGATTTCACCGTAGGTTGACATGATATTCTCATTAAATGGCCCCTGATGAACAACTTAATTAAATGAGTCTGAACATGTTCTAATGGTTCAATTGGAGGGCAGAGCAGAAGTTGAAGGTCATTTTGCAGCAGCACTACGTCACTTCCTCTGAGGTAAGTGTCATAATCGGGACCTTGACAAAACCAGTTCAGAAGTTCATCCAAATGAAAATGCCACGAAGACAAGGAAGAGGAGACTCTAATAAATGCTCTACTTAGGGATTATTTCCCTCATTGACCCTGATTATGCCACCAATGTTTAGAAAGCTTAATTCCAATACTGACTTTAGGAAAACAAATATAAACTTAAGACTATTTTGTCAGTGAATCAAGGACTTGACTAAAGCTGCTTTCCAGGAAACAGAAAGTTGAGAAGGCACGCAGACAGGGAGGAGACTGTACCATAGGTGCCCCGGCCTGCCATTTTGTGGAACTGCTGCCACGTGAGCGGTCCCTGCACGTGCTGGATATTCTCCCAGGTCCTGCCCGTGCGCTTCTTCTGGATGGCATCTTGGAGAAAGGGCTGCAGGGACAACAGCATACGGACCACATCCTGGGAGGAGAGCATGCTGATGTCCAGCACTGGAACAGACAGTAAGTGAAAATAAATGGAAATCATAAAGGAGGACTAGACTGGCACTCTCCTCTTTCTGGCCATCACTTTGGACCTCAGTTATAGTCCATGACAAAGACATTATTAGTGATAGAGTCTATTTTTAGTTGACTCTCAAATACTTGACTCAGGAGACAGAAGGAAAGAAATTCTTCTACTCAAGTGAAAAAAGTAATTTATTATTTATTATTGGAAAGAATACAATGGAAAATAGGTTACTCTATATAAGTAAAGAGGTTAACTATAGACATCACTTTGGACCTCAGTTATAGTCCATGACAAAGACATTATTAGTGGTAGAGTCTATTTTTAGTTGACTCTCAAATACTTGACTCAGGAGACAGAAGGAAAGAAATTCTTCTACTCAAGTGAAAAAAGTAATTTATTATTTATTATTGGAAAGAATACAATGGAAAATAGGTTACTCTATATAAGTAAAGAGGTTAACTATAGAACTGCTTAAGAGTGGGAAGATGGATAGGCCTGGCTTTTTAAATCGTATAAACCTGTTTCCAAGTTGCTTACCAGGAAAGAGAGCTGCAAACATTTCTTAATTATTGCATAAGTTTAATTTATAAACATCAATGGTTAGATTATATGATGAGTGGGGAAAAGGAACTTTAAGGTTTTGAAAACTTTAAAAAATGCTCTTACTATAAAATATTTTCACAAAATGCATATGGAGAAAGAAAGCCTTCCCTGCAAGGAGAGGTGCCTGAGAACAGCAGAAGCAGTGATACGACTGGAAGCCACCTGTGCACAGAGGAAGGGCGGGGACTCATGGCTTCTGAACAAACACTCTTCCTTCCAAACTGAGTTGTGGAAGTTGTAAAGATCCTTTTGAGATATCCAGGTAAAGGAGGGGTCTTCACCAGCAATTTGAAAAACTTCTGAAACTCTATGCAAAACTGTGCATGCATACGTGCATGAACATATGTGCATTTTTCCCCAGGAGAGAAGGGCCATAATGCTCATCAAATTCTCAAAACAACCGGATGAGCTAAATAATTTTAAGGTGATCAGCTCTCAATCTGCACAGCTGGGTTCCTGAAGACCTTTCCTTACTCTTACTTTTCTACTATTAGGAAGGGGCATGGATGGAAATCTAAGGTTTACCTACCAAAGAAATCCGAGACACAGAGTGCTGAGGGTTCTTAAGACATCTTTAGATTATGTCCTTACATCAAACACAGTTTGCAAATTGGTGGCCATAGTTTTTGTTTTTGTTTTTTTTTATTTTTTTGGGGGGGGTGAGGGGGGGGGTAAATCTCTCCAGGAAATTTCATATACAAATCTGGATTTCCAGCTTCTCTTGACAAATTGGGAGACCTGGCAACTCGAGCTGAGATCCACACTCCTGCACAGCCCCCATGGGCTGGAGCCGAGGACCAGCTGCCCCTTCAGACAGTTCTCCACGGTTCCTCCTTGGCTGCCTGCCTGAGACTGAAGCAGTGTTCACATCTTTATTTCCAAGCCTGTGCTTCTTTTTTTTTCTTAGAAGTAAAAACAAACAAACAAAACACCCAGTAAAGTACTTCTTACTCTATCGAAAGCAGGAAAATGAGAGACTTAGAGAACCAGATTAAAAGCAGACACAGTTCTTTGTGAACCCTATTTCTGTGCATATAAAATAGAAAGTGTGCTGTGGAAGGACACAATTCAGGGCATTGCTTTGTGCAAATCTGGATCCCCGCATCATTCATTTACATGACCTGCCTGCTACATCCAAGCATCTGAATTTGGAACCCTCGCCTTCCCTACAAAAAAAGGTGCTATTCTTCATATGCAAAGATGGCACTACTGTTCCTCCCACACAGACTGTTTTTCTGTCTGAAGGCCACTATCTAGTTAAAAGGAACTACCAAGATAATCATCCACATTTCTTCAGGGGAAAGACTGCACTTTCTTCATAAATTCATCCAACAGACATTAATTAAAGGTCTGATAAGTATAAGGCACTCTGCTTAAACCTAAGCAGTCATAAAAATAAGTATGACTTGAACACTTCCTTAGGAGTTTCCACTTCTAAGAAGTCTCCCTGCTTAGCCTGCTCAGAAAACACCTGCCACTCCCTACTCCACTGAACTCTGTCCTCTGAACATTCTTTTATTATTCCAGAGTTCAATTTAAGAAGCTCATATAACCTTGTCCCTATAGGACTGAGAGTTGTTCAGAAGCAGGGTTCCTGTTTCATTCATGTAACCCCGCCAGCCTGGCCTCTGTCCCTCCCCCTTCTACAGAACCAGCTCTCACGATGGGTACAAGGCGATCCTTACCTTAAAAGCTCAGCTGCACTTTAATGCTTGTTGACCACTCTCTTTCTTGAAATGTGGTGACTTGGAAGATTTCACCAAAGCCTGCCCCAGGCCCTGCCCTCATTCTGTGCTCTCCTCTTCAGGGAGCTTCCCTCCTCCCCTGTGCCCCTGTCATCATCTGCGTGGCCCACTACTCTCTTCCCCTGAGCTCTAGGCCCATCAAGTCCCAAGCGTCTACTCTACATCTTTATCTCAAAACTTCCAAAACTCAATTTATGAACTTGCTCCTCAAACCTGGTCTTCCTCCAGTCCACCTACCTATCTTTGAATGACACCACTGTCTGTCCAGGTATACAAGTCACAAACCTGGGTGTCATGTTTAAGATTTTGCTCTCCCTGAACACCCAAGTTCAACCTAGTACCAAGTCCTACAGTACTACTTCCTAAACATCTTTATAATGCTTCCACTTATTTTGCGTTTTCTTTGCTAGGACGCTAATCAAGCCATTGTTTCTTTTATGGTCTACTACATTACCCTCCTAGTCTCCCCAAATCCACTCTGCCATTTTCTAAACCACAGCCCACATTAGGGTCAGAGTACATTTTTTCTTTTTTAACACAAATCTGATGAAACAATTACACAAAAGCATATTATCACTAAGCATTACAAGTGGTGAAAGCATGGAGGAAGAGAGGAATGCTGGGCTAGAGGAAGACTTCCTTGAAGAAGTAACACTTGAGATCTCAACCATGAGTATAAATTAACTGTCCATTATCCAAAATAGATTAGAAATTCCCGAGGGCACGTACCTTGTCTCTTTCAGTCAGCATTTTATTCCCCAGTATGCACCACATTATTGATAATGAATGCAATAAGGGAAGGAGAGAGCAAGTTGCTTGACACTCTAAAAGCTCAACTCCAAAAATGTTTGTCAACTGGAGCTTTTAATAGAAGAGCCAGTGACATGACCAGTAACCACAGGACAAAGTAAAATATGATCACTGTTACAGAGAGAAAATACTGAGAAAACAGAGGAAGAAGAAAATGACCTGTAACTGGGTAGAAGACTATATGGAAGAAGTAGCATGAAAACTTGACCTAGACGAGTGAGTGGGTTTAAACATGAAAGGCTGTGCAAATTATACTCTTGATGACTTTGATACTCAGCAGTCACAGGCTTCCAATATGAAATGCTTCTATGAATTAATAAAGAGGAAATTTCCACAAAGCAAGTATTCCTCTCCAAAGGTGTTTCAATATAAAACATTCTCTTAGTCCTTAAATTTAGGATGATATCAACATAGTGCTCACTTTAGCTATCTTATTTTTTAAGAAATGAAATTTAAAATTTTATCAGAGAAAAAGTAAAGGAAGTGTGTAAGCCACCATCACGCCAAGCTCGTCTCCAAAGGGCATTACTATTCTGGGACACCTACCGTTGCTATGAGGCCAAGAGTGCACAGTGGCACTTCTCACCAGTGCTTCATCCACTTTTCCACCTGTGGGATTATCCACATACTGCCGCCCTTGCTCCAAGGCATTAAAGCATTCCGTCCAGTAATCGTTATTATCTGCTTGCACCCGGTCGTAACTCCAGCTTACGCAGGGAAGAGTTTGGCGATTGTTCGAGGAAATGTAGTCCAGGAAACTCAGCGAAGCAAAAGGTTGTGTGTGTTGGTTCTGGAGGAGGAGGAGAAGGCTTATAGGTGGCTCCTGGGGTTTTCTGGCTGCCTCCATCTGAGGAAGGAAGGTGGTCTGACACATCATTAAGCGCCTCTCTGCAGCCTGACCGATATCAGAATTCTTCCCAAAAATATCCAACTCATCTTCCAGGAAGAGTCCTGAATTGTAACCAAGTTTGCGATTCATAATCGCACTGAACCCACAGGTACAGCGGTACTGGTCCTCGTTGGAAGAATCGGGGATGTAAAGACCGACATCTGCCCCTTTGATGTTCATGTTGCAGGCACAGATGCAACAGCTGTCAAAGTTTCTGTCTTTAAAGATATTCATCACAGAATCAGAGAGAATCAGGGTGACATAGAGACTGTGGGCTTCTGGAATTGGCTGCATGGTGGCAGGCTCCACAGAGTTAAGGGGCCGCGTGGTAGAGGGGGTAGAGGCTGGTGACCCCTGATCGGTGCTGTCATATTTAACAGACCCTTGACCACTGGCAGTGCCCCCACCTCTGGGAGTTCTTGGGGTCCTGGGGGTTCGTGGCGTGGGGACAGAGAAGCGAGGGGTTGCTGGCGATGGCAGAACTCCTGCTCCACTGTTGCTGGCTGGGGCAGTACTGTTCAACGTCACTGGTGTGTTCATCTGTGGTGTGTTCAGATAGTCTGGGTCTGCTAGGCTCCCGACGCTAGGCACATTGCTGCAAAACACAGGCAGCGCCAAGTGAGAATCAAAGGCAGGCTGCAGAAGCTGGAATACACACCTATTACCCCGACCTGGGTTGTGCATTTCTTATCATTTATGTGTGTTATCATTTGGTGTACTCAACTTTCTCTTTAAAAAAAAAGGATTCAAAGGAGTCAGTGCAGTATGTGGGAAAGCAAAAAGTGAGGCATGAAGAAAAAAATCAATATGGCACTTTCCTTTTACTCATTCCACATTGAAGCAATCTTCATCTAAATCTTTTGAGGAAACTTTTAGTATTTTTATAGAAAACATGATGTTGGATTTGGTCAATGTAATTCTGAAAAACTGTAACTACTAAATGGAACTTGAACATGAGTTCAGGTGCTAAATTAGGTAGAAGACCATAGGATGAAATTTCCATCTAATTTGCAATTACATTTTTGTCATTTTTTGAAATTGAAAGTCTGCCAGCATACTTGTTCTCTGAGGCTATAATCTATATACGATTCTAAAGTAGTTATAATCAAATGCACAAGAAAATTTAACATTTTCCTAACTTTCAAAATGCAGTCCTATCTAGGCTTGCATTTTATTAGTAATGTGTGACCATGAGGGAATTCTATTTTAGGAAACCCATTGGCTGGAACTACACTACAGTTAATAAAAATATTACATATGCTGCTAAGAGGCTTTAGTATTAATTAGGTGATTGCACAGAAGTACACATATTGTATTATAATTCCCAAACTTGTAAGATTTCTGTGGGATGGAAGGCAATTCTAGTTCACTTATTAATTTCAAAATGCTATGCATTACCTATAGCACAATTACTTTAGTTCCCAGAGACTTGAATGCATTGCGCTATTTTCTCATAAGCAGTGACTTCTTTTTGGAATAGCCACATAGAAAACAAAATAGTATCTGCAATGTTCTACTGTTTTATTACTGCAGAAAATTTTCTTAATGAACATTCTTACAGATATATGTAAACCAGCATATGAGACCATTCTTTCCAATTAGAAAAGAACACAGATTTTTTTAGTGCTTAGTATTCTTTTGAAATCTATTAATAATGTACTTAAACTAATGTTCCTCCAATAAATTACATATTCATTCACTTATAATTTGAAAGAAAAGTATCATAAAGTAATGGCTCTTCAAATAATTTTCTTGTGATTTTTAATTAGCTATGCCTAAACGACCAGCCTGAAAATCCAAATCAGGCACTGTAAAGATATTTTAAATTAGAGGCAACACTGATATCTTTGAATACAGATAAAAAATGACCCAGAAACCTTGATTAGCAATCATTGCTATCTCAGAGACCAAAATAATGTGTGTAGTAATGATTTTTACTCTAATTGGACTCCTTTCAAATTTTTCTGGTTCAACTAAACCCTAAAATTATTATGCAGTTCAGATCAGAAAAAAAAAGCTATGACTACTAACTGTAACCTAAATAATTAAATTGCTCCCTAGGTAGTAAGAATGTATTCTCCTGTATAGTAACCTGATCTCTCCCAGTCAATAAAAATGAACTGAGTACCAACCCTATGCTAAATGCTAGATATTCAGCAATGAAAAAGAAAGAAAAGCTAGCTCACAGCAAGTATGACAGGCATCATGCAAATAAGTGCTGGTGTGCTGAGTGTGGCAAGTGTGTGTGTGTGTGTGTGTGTGTGTGTGTGTGTGTGTGTGTGCGTGTGGAGGGTGGACATTGTATGGTTTCTGTTAAAGGGTCTGAAGGTGTGTGTGTGTGTGTGTGTGTGTGTGTGTGTGTGTGTATGGAGGGTGGGGTGAGAATGGGGGATGTCCAGAGTGATGGAGACCACGGTAGGAGGATTTCGCATAGCTCAGAACTGAGTTGCCCAATAAGGTAGGCACTAGCCCCATGTGCTAAATTTAAATTAACTTAAATAAAACTAAAAATTCAGTCTTGATCTCAAATAACCACATTTCAAATGGGACATAGTTACAGCATGAGAATAGTAGGTGCCATATTAGAAGGAAAGATACAAAACATTTCATCATAGCAAGGTCTATGAACACCATCAACAGTGCCAAGTCTTTTGCTTTACCTAGTCCATTTCGTCCCTATATTGCTTACTTGGTACTGATAGAAATTTGAGCTTGTGGCATTTTATTTTATAGCATTGAAATTATTTTATTAAAAAATTATTAATCATACAAAAAACTGATTGATTGTACATTGTTGATTTAAGTACTATTTTCTGGATCATATGAAACATGCCCAAGCTACAATAAGCACCTCTTTTCCTTCCCCATACCACATCACCATTCTTTTGCTGCTTTCTCCTATGATGTGGGGTCAATGATAGAGATACTGCCAATGTTAATACTTTTTTTTAAAGGGCCTTAAGTAAACACATTTAAAAATCATCAGTTTACATAAAACAAAGCATTACCACCATCCCCAAAATTATTACCAATCCAATCTAGTGCTTGATTCTGTGATAAACAATGATTTGACATTGAATGAGCATGAACACCATGATTCTCTATACCCGTGGTTCCCAACCTTTTTTTGGCCATGCCTCACCTAAGCATCTCTAAAATCCTGATGCCTCCCCCGTAACATATAATCCTAATTATTCAAAAAGTGAACTCTTATTCACGTGGAGGAAGCCTAAAAGGCCATTCACTTGGTCTAAACCAGCTTCCAAAGAACATGGCATTCATGTAAAAGAAAAAGATGAAAAGATAGTTGAAGTACTGAGAAAGAAATCACTAAGAAATTGTTTAAAAAATATATATAATATGAAGTGATATTAAAAAATAGCAAATAACGTTTCAAAACATATAATAGAGAACTGAAATGCATAAATATGTCACTATATATATTTATATACTGCTTATGAGGCCCATAGAACCATAAGAAATGCAAAAAATTCACTGTTAATAACTCATTCTCGAATTGCCCCCTTTAAAAATCAAATTGCCTCCCTGTGGGGCATGTGCCCCACATTAGGGAACCACTGCTCTATACAAGTAACCTTAATTTTTCCATGTACATAAAATTTGGTTTAGGAAATAACATACATTTTCAACACAAAATAATGTGCCCCAAAACATGAATGGCCAATAAAAGCTTCAAATCATATGCTACTGTCATCAATTTAAATAAATATTTAGTTGAGATAAAAATCACATGAAATATGGCACATACTTGTAGCCATCTCTAACGAAAGTGGCTGCAGGTGGCATGGGCAGTTGTTCAATTTTAGGAGGGATTGCCCACGAAGGCCGAAACAGACAGGCATCAGGTATCTTCAGAGGTAGCAGGCATTGGCTTGGCAACATCTTCAGTGGAGCAAACATGGAGGATCCCACAAAAGGTTGAAAAGTTGGAACTTTGTGCACATATGAGAAGTCCTGCAACGACAAAGTGAGGTCGGCGATAATGTTGGTAAATGACTTAGTACACAGCACAGTAATGACAAAAACTATTGTAATTCAATATTTTTCTTATCTGATCAGTAGAAAATGCTAATACCAAAATTTTATAAATTAACCAAAAGACACTGTAATTACTTCATGATCCAATTCAGAGGATTGTTAGAAACTTATGTACATTTGGCATAAAGACAGTATTATTTTAAAGAAGATGCAGCAAATCCACTTGAAAACCACTCTGCTTGGTAAAATTAGTACATTGGCAATTACCTTTATTTCCTCTGGCTTGGGGCTTCCTAAGCCATCTTCCACTTCCATTTTGAATTCAGTGAGTTGTGTTGAAACCATACTGACCATAGGACTCTCCATCATGCCTAATGCTGTCACTGTCTCTGAACTGATCCCGTCTTTATAACTCATCACAGGAGAAAATGCAGGGTGCTGTTCCAAAGAAGGAGGGGTGGGGAACATCCTTTGCAGGTCTGCAACTGCTAAAAAGCAAAACAAAAAAATACAAACCATTTCTCTTAACAGGGCGGGACTGAAAAGGCACATCGCAGTTCACAGCCAGATCAGTTACACAACAGAATATGAATAATGGAAGTCTCTGAGAAGAAGGCCATCAGCACAGAGTTATCCTTTCCTGGAATTTTATCACTATCCTCTTGATCATTCAGGATTTGGCCTCACATTAACTAAAAGAGCAAAAGTCTACAACGTTTTGTTTTTTTTTTTCCCAACAACTGATTCCCTGAGAAGTCTAAGAAGCTGGAAGCAATTACAAGGAGCAACCACTTTATTAAAAGTTCTATCGCTATTGTAAGTATGTATGACATATTTCAGAATTATAATTGTTATGCAGAAAATTTTACATAGAAAAATCCATCAAGCATTTATGTTAGAGAAAAGAAAAGTTGCCTAAGCTATAATTATGATTTATATGTAGTAGGGTTACTTAGCTAGTTTTTGACAAATCCACAACACTCACTGCTCTTTGAGAAAATGATTCCACACTCTCTTTCCAAATTGACATTAAAATGAAACTTCATAGTTAAGATTAACAAACCTACCTAGAACCAAAAGACAATTTATTGAGAATTAACTTCTTTTTTTTTCTTTTTAAAAAAATATTATAATAAGTATTACAAAGGGTATTACATATGTGTCCTTCCCCCCCCCCCGCCCTTGACAATCCCCTGCCCTCCCTTACCCCCCAGTGTCTTATGTCCATTAGTTATGCTTATATGCATGCATACAAGTCCTTCGGTTGATCTCTTACTCCCCTCCCTTCTGCCCCCCAACCCTCTCTGGCCTCCCCACTGCAGTTTGACAATCAGTTTGAGAGAATTAACTTCTTAAAAAATATCTTTCAAGAAATACTCAGAACCAACCATTTAAAAAATCATTTTAATATACCTGAGATTAACCATCATCAACAGTGGCTCATTAAGGCACTGTTTCTTTTTTCCTTAATATATATTTCCCATTTATTTGTTCTAATGACTACTTTTCAGTTTACAATATTTTCTGTCTTTCCTGATGGTTTTTAAAAATCTGTCAAAAAAATGAGTTTAATAAAAACTATTTTTTCCAAGTACAGAGTAGTTAAATTAAGTAAACTAAATCACAGGAGAAGACCAACCAGAATTTAGAATTCATCATTATTCCCTGGCATTCCTCATATTTAACTTTGATACAATCATCACAAGCAATAACTTACAAATTAAAATTAAAAAGTTTTACAGGTAATGTATCAAAATACAAATATATAAGTTTTTAATATGCATTAGAACAAAAGTAGGAACTTAATTTTTAAAAAAATAAATCTTTCTTGCTGAAAGTATTACTTATGTCCCTTTTCCCCCCATTGCTCTCTCCCCTCTTCTCCCCACCCCACGCCTTTTTAAAGTAGAAATAAATGGAATGAAAACACAAGTTGTGGTTGTGAAATCTGGCCACTAGGGGGTGCCCTGTACAGCAAATTCATTTACTAATCTGGAGTCACAAGTTTGATTTGGAATGGCATCTGATACCCCAATTTCCAGTCACATTGCTATTCCTAGCAACCTCAACATTTAAAGGGGCAAATAGCAGCCACTGAATAAATTAAGATGTGACTTTTAGCTCTGAATAAGAAATTAATAAAGCATAACTGTACCATATTGTCCCCTGGGCTAGAGTTTAAGGCACAGCTGTCTAAAGTAGTAGTGGACTGGGTTCCACAACCCAGGTGCTTCCAGCACAGCACTGGTATGCTCAGGTCACTTCCTTTCTTGGGACCTCAGCTCTTTCATCTAAAAAGGAAGGCTTGATTAAATGTGTGATTCTCACCAGGCTTTCTTTCATTCCTGAGTGGGGGGAGGGGAAAGCCTTCACCATATGGAGGAAGAAAAAAAGGTGAGAACCTCTGGATTTAATAATCTTTACATGCTTCCTAGTTAAACAATTATATAATTCTAAATAATTTACCCTTTCTTGGCCTCAGGTACTTAACTTGATATTAAACTATACTTAGTTGTTACTGTGTGTTGCTTTCCACATTATTGCAATCACAAATGAATAATTATGAACCTATACTTTCCAACACAGGACCCGCTAGCCACATGTGGCCACAGAGCATTCAAAATGAAGCTTGTCCAAAATGAGATGTGCCTGTGTGTCGAATATAACCAGGTTCCAAGAGTTAGTACAAAAAAGGATGTAAGTAAAGAGTTAGTACAAAAAAGCTCACTATCTTTTTACTTGTAAAAATGACAATTTTTGGATATTTCCATTATTTAATATATATTATTAAAATTAATTTCATGTTGTGTTTTTCTGTAACTACCAGAAAATTTAAAATTACTTATATGGATCTCATTTGTGGCTCACCCTGCATTTCTATTGGATGGTGCTGTTCAAGACATTAAATGTTATGTCTGTCTTTCCACCTCAATCCTCTTATATAATAAAGAGCTAATATGCTAATTAGACCAGATGGTGGAACAACCTTCCGGAACAACCTTCAGTAACGACTAGTGGGTGGGGGGCGGGGCTGTGGGGCCATGAGGCAGCCAGGGCTGCGAGGGCCTACCCTTGCATGAATTTCGTGCATTGGGCCTCTAGTGTATAATAAAGCTACTGCAGAGATGAGAACTTCTTGCCATATCATTTTCACTGTCATGTCTTGGGAGGAAATATTGTGTGTAAGCCAACACACATATACGTTGTACACATTAAAACAATCTTCTTGACTCTTATATATCTGTATTTTCCTGATGCTAATATTTTTACTACATTTCAAATTCATTAATTTTTGTAAACTGTACTTTTTCATAAAATATTGAGTAGTTTCCTTTTAAAACAATCCCATTTTGAACAGAAATGAGGGAAGGAAGAGTGTATACCATATACTTTATTTACTGAGCAAGACACTAACCAGCAGGATGGTTTGTGAGTGAATAATCTTGGACAAGTTATTAGACATGTTAACAAGTAACATCACTATGTATCACTTAATGTCAAAAAGGCAGAGGATTAACTGGTTCAACACAAGGGGAAAAAATTCACTCATTTGACCTATTCCATATGTATCTGCTTTAATACTGGTTCTTTTAATCTGTGAGTTCCATATTTGTAAAATTCTGCAGTGCAGAGTAATAAAAAAAGAAAAATGTTTAATTAAAAATACTACAGCAACTGGCTGGCTATCATTATTCATTTTCATACATGTCATGCTTGAGAAAGCTTTGCATATTTTAAAAAGCTATGGAACCATTAAAGCTGTCAAAATCCAATCTCTGTATACTTCATACTTCTACATTTGAGTAAATCAGTTCTACATTTATAGGTTCATAAAACTTTTTGACTCATCTCTATGACATGGTGGTTTTTCCCCTCAATTTGTTCTCATTACGGCCGAAGTTAATGAGAAGGTATTACAGAATGATTTGCAATGAAATTATGTTTCTGCTGCAGAGTGTCCACAAAGCTACCCCGACTTTCTTTTCTCTTGTAGAGTATTGTGTTTTCTCAGGGCAAAGAATAACTAGAAAAAAGGAAGTTTCTCTTCTAGTCAGCATACATAATACAGCTAGTTGATCTCAAAAGGAAGCACAAAATTTCAGTATGAATCAGAAAAAGAACCACAGAAAACAAACAGTATTCATTACCTCATGTGAATTAAATTTCTGAAAGTTGAAACATTTTACACAAGTGCTTACAGTGGGGTATTGCTCTGAAAATCACCCTGCAACATTTATCCTACTAGGAAAGGGCTACTCAAAAAACAAACCTAGAACATGTTTTTCCACATTTTAAACCATAAAAGTTAATTCTTCATTTGAAAAAAAAGAGCAAAGGAACTCAAATTAAGATGGACTCTTAGCTGCCTGCCATCTTAAGAATGCCAACTTATACAAGTTTAAATTATAGTTAGTATTTTTTAAATGGAAATAAAAAAGGAGGGGGATCTCAGCTGAGGCACTGCTGGGTGTGACAACATTACATGTAAGGTATGAGGAGTAAGCCAAGGCTCAATCTTTTTCTTACTTGGTGCGTAATGAACAGCAGCTCTTCCATCCTTCCCAAGAGGTCTGTCTTCAGTCCCAACTGTTGGCATTTTTGATGAACGAAGTGCAGGTGATACAGCCTAAGAACAGAAAAGATGCTTCTTTATTAAGTGTTCACCAGGTGAACCACTAGAAATACCAGCAGACAGTGAACAAAGGAGTGGCTTCAAGCTCATCAAGTATGAGAAATGGAGTGACGAGTCTTTTCATGGGTCTGGTGCGGGCAGATTGTGCCATCAAAGCAGAGCCTGCAGACCTTAAGCAAATCTTCCCTCCCAGGTCATTAGAGACGTAGTTTCAGGAACACAGTAATTACATTAGGGTGGTGCCTCCAAGTAGTAATTGACGATCAGTCTGGTTTTCCTTCTGTTTGGAAGAAAGCAGCTAGAAGAGATTACCTCAACCCCCCCTCCCCCCAACTATTATTCTTTTATTTTTCAACACACACACACACACACACACAGATATATATTATTTCCTTTGGTGTGTTTTTTTAATCCTCACCTGAGGATTTGGCAATGGGGTTTTTGTTTTTGTTGTTGCTAATCCTCACCTGAGGATATTTTTCCTATTGATTTTTTTTAGAGAGAATGAAAGGCAGGGGGGGGGGGAGAGAGAGAGAAACATTGACGTGATAGAGAAACATTGATTGGTTGCCTCCCGCACACACCCCGACTAGGGCTGGGGCTGGAACCCGCAACCGAGGTACATGCCCTTGACTGGGAATCAAACCCGAGACTCTTTGGTCCATAGTTGACCCTCTTAACAACTGAGCCAAACCTACCAGGGTTATATTTGTATATATTTCAATATCAGAGAGTTGAAGTATAAAATTAAATTCAAAGACATTTCAGGTGAAGATTTAAACAACAGCTTCCCCACTCCAGATACTAGTAAAGTGAATTAGCAAAATGATTCTAAGATAAACTGATGCCTTGATTAAATGCCAGGGTAGAAATGAAAGTAGAAACAATCATTTCAGAGAAATAAAAATTATTTCTAAAATGTCCAGCTCTCCTTTGTATAGTGACATTACTAAGAATATATTTAAGAAACAATGTGAACATTACTTTACTTCGTTCAACAGTCTTTCCTAATTGTTACAGAAAATAAGCACGATGGCTCACAATCACTAGGGAAAGTGGCTGCGAACAGTGCTGGGCTATTTCACAATGCTTGCTTTTTTTTCTTTTCTTACTTCTCCCTTTCTACTTCTTTTTTTAATTCCTTTTCTTTTCATTCTTCATTCCCACCATCACCAGGAAAGCATCTAACCCAGGGGTCCTCAAACTATGGCCCGCGGGCCACATGCAAATACAAATATTGTTTTTGTTCCCGTTTTGTCTTTTTACTTCAAAATAAAATATGTGCAGTGTGCACAGGAATTTGTTCATAGTGTTTTTTTTTAAACTATAGTCCGGCCCTCCAACGGTCTGAGGGACAGTGAACTGGCCCCCTATTTAAAAAGTTTGAGGACCCCTGATCTAACCTAACCCTCAGGATTATTAAAACCGATCATAGGCAATTCTTGGCTTTAGAGAGATCATCAAGTTAAAAAAGGATCTCCCATGCCTCGATCAACAATAAGGAAATGCGTCAGTCCTTCTACCAAAGTTTGCCACACTGCCATGTCCTTTTCCGTCATGCAACAGTGACCTGAATTCCAGTTCTCATGTGTTAGGCTGATGAAAACCAGCACTCCCTTCTACCAGGTCAGTTCCACTCTCAGCAGCCTTCAGAGGAACACATTACTGGTACAGTTCAAAGTCCATAGAACTAAGCATGGCCAGGTCCTTCCTAGCCCCACCAATCTTTACCCCATTCAGAAAACAGACCAATGGAATGGCCTGTTCATTACCCCCCAAAGCCCAGCTAGTTCATTCCTATTGTGTAACCACAGTGCATTCCAGGCTCAAACTAATGTCCCTCCCTCACCCCCCACTAGCCAAGTCTTTCCACATTTCAAGTCATATCGGTTCTTCAAGGGCATTATGATCTCAGTAGAGGCCTGGTGCATGAATTTGTGCACAGGTGGGGTCCAGCCGGCCCGCCCCAATGGGGCTGATTGGGGCTGGGCCGGCAGGGGATGTGGGAGGTTGGCGGACTGACACTGCCCCCCCCAGACCCCGATCGGGGCGGGAGGGGCTGATCCAGGGTGGGCCGGCTGGGGGGAGGGGCCACGGGAGGTTGGCTGGCTAGCCCCACCCCCAATCATGACTGGGGGGGCCGATCAGGGATGGGGCTGTGGGCCAATAGGGGTGTGGGGAACCAATCAGGGGTGGGGTGGAAGAGGCCGATCAGGGGTGGGCCAGCTGAGGGGAGGGGGCCACGGGAGGTTGGTCGGCCAGCCCCACCCCCAATCGGGCTGGTTGGCCTGCCACAGTGGGTGTCATAGTGACTGGTCATTCTGGTGTTCTGGTTGCTGGCTTTTTAGATATATAGATAATCTTCAAAGTACTTATAATACTAACTAGAGGCCCGGTGCACGAAATTCGTGTACGGGGAATGGGGGTCCCTCAGCCCAGCCTGCACCCTCTCCAATCTGGGACCATTTGGGAGATGTCAGTCGGGCATCCCTCTCGCAATCCAGGACTGCTGGCTCCTAACCACTCACCTGCCTGCCTGCCTGATCGCCCCTAACTGCCTCTGCCTGCCAACCTAATTGCCCCTACCTTGCCCCCCTGCTGACCTGATCACCCCTACCTTGCTTCCCTGCTGGCCTAATCACCCCTAACTTACTCCCCTGCCGACCTGGTCACCCCTAACTGCCTCTGCCTCGGCCCCAGGCCTAAGCCACAGTCTGGCCTCCCTCTGCGGGAGGCAACCTGTAGGATCAGGGGAAGGCACCGCCCCCATTACCCCACTACTGCTGCCACTGCCAGCCTGAGCCTCGGCCCTTCGCAGCCACCCGCAGCTGCCTGAGCCTCAGCTCTTGCAGCCTCTGTGGCTTTGTCCGGAAGGTCGTCCGGAAGACACCTGCTCTAATTAGCATATTACCCTTTTATTAGTATAGATAATCTTAAAAGTACTTATAATACTAACTAGAGACCCAGTGCATGGAATTCATGCAGGGGAGGGGGGAGTCCCTCAGCCCAGCCTGTGCCCTCTCGCAATCCAGGACCCCTCTGGGGATGTCCAACTGCCGGTTTAGGCCCAATCCCTGCAGCCGGACATCCCTCTCGCAATCCAGGACCACTCGCCACTAACCTCTCGCCTGCCTGCCTGCCCAGTGTGTGTCATAGCGACCAGTTGTTCTGGTCATTCCACCATAACGGTCGCTTAGGCTTTTATACATATAGATGGTGTATAATATCTGTTAATCAGATACATTTTATTTTGAAGTGAGAAAGGGCTTTAGAAATCTGATTCCTACTTAACCTTCAATCCTTCAGTTCAACACTTATTGCTTGTCACTTTGTACTTGAATGTCCAGCATCTTTAGATTTGGGTTAATTACTCCTCTCATAGCCATAAATACAATTTTAATTTTATTTATACACCATTTCTCCTGAAGTCTGTGGGTGTTTCAAGTATAAGGATGGTAAGTTAATAATATTTGTAACCTCAAGTTGCTGACACAAGGGAACTAATCTTCAAATGATTAACAAATATGTAAAATACACGGATGGGAAGAAAGATAAATACATGAATGGAAGAATAATAAACTGATTTCCTTGAAGAGCAAGCCTACCTTACTAATCTCTAGGTACCCCAGAAATAACAGCATTTCTATTTGCCCGAACACACAGAGCTGGTTTGGAGGACAAGGACACAAACTTCCTGACTCAAGCCAGCTGTTCTCCAAAGAATTGTAATTCTTATCTGCCACTTTAATTACATAATGCCTGGTATTATTAAACTTCCATGTGCATAAATTCTACTTCCCTACTATGAGGCCATCATCTTAAAAAGTATAGACTATTCTTGTGTATCTCTCAAAAATGTAGAGCTAAAGGGACTACGTAATACTTTATTAGTCTTATGATATTTCAAAGGATTTTAAAAAACAAATGTAAAAGATTTTAGTATTTACACCAGGAATAACATTAATGAAAAAAAGCCATCAACAAGCAAACCCAAGGAATGTTATAGACTAGTAACTTTTCGAATCCTTTCAAAGTACACAAGTATTTTTAAAGAACATTCAAGAACCTGAACTAAAAACCCCCAAGTTCAGTAGGCCAACTATAAAGAAATACTGAGACACCCACATAAAGCCTTCCATTTAGGGAAATTTTTGTTTGTGTAGCTATGGCAGACTCACCCCAAGTTCGTCGTCATCAGAATTATCAAAGATGTTGTCTAAGTCATGCAGGGAAGGTGCCAAATCTGTCACCTGCGTAAGGCTACTGGAGCCAGCTCTGCCAGCAGCATTATCTTGCCGGACATCTATGGGAAAGGAGACAAAATAAACAGAATGAGCATCTTCATTAAGGAAGAAGAAATGAGGAGAGGACACGGATCTCAATGAGCAACACCTGCCTGTGAATTTTTCCCTATGTTTTCAGTTAAATTTAGAGACAATTATTTCCTAATATGTTTATCAGTTTTGAAAGGAACTGAAAAACAAACTATGAAAAATATATTAAAGATGAGATCAAATTATTGCTATTACTATAAGAATATAATTTGAAATTGAGAAGCATCTCCCTCGCATTTTATTTTAGCAACAATCCAAGTGAGGCAAATAATCATTGTACACACCTGTTTTAGTAGCAGAACTGAAAATAGACATGGCATTTTTCCCATCAGGCACCGGCGTGGAATGACCTGGTGTAGTGACATCCTTGGTACCAAATCCATCCTCTGACTGTATAATAAATTCAGCCAAACAAAACACATGAACACCAACCCAAAGTGTGGAATATGAGGGAGAACACAAAGAATTAGAGGGTAGAATGGAACTTGTTATGAGCACAAGTATGATAAACCATGGTCTATGCAACCAAAAGAAATAAAAGGTATGTCCTTTCCCCTGAATTTAAACAGAACCAAAACTCCCACACTTTCCTCTCAATCCTATGGAGTATTCTGAGTCAATCAGGGTTTTATGCCTAAATGGTACTGGTGGCATTTGATTACAGACCTGCCATGGTGTTACAAGCTGCCTTTAATAAATTTTGGATGCTGAATTATGGTTCAAGCTTTCTAGAGCTGGATACATCTCTGTAAGGAATCTAACAAGCAGTCCCCTGAATTATACTGGCCTCCTTTAATTGTCTTACTTCCTCTATGCTCAAGAATACCTCTTTAAATGGTCTAGCATTTTACAATGTTTTAACATTTAAGGCTAAAGACAGCTGATACACCCAGTACTCATTTTTGTGACAATGAAACAGTATAATCAATACTGACACGGTCAAAGAGTGATGTTAATATTAATTCAGAAGAGATATAGGTAAAGCGCTTGGCACAGTAGTCACAGTAAGCGCGTAATAAACAGTAGATATTGTTAACATTTTTTCTTTACATTTTGGGTATTTTGGAATCATAATTAAAAGAAATAAGGAGGGAGCATAGGCCAACAAGAATTAGCATATGAGAGGAAACATGCGCTGTACAAGCTATAGCCTGGAAAATATGAGGCTTCATTTATGTTCGGCTGACTTTTCAACAAAGGTGAGCCATGACATAAAAGGGAACGATACGCTGTTCAATACGATAGTACCAAGAGCATGAGTATGGGGACAGAGCAGTCAGGCACGGCTATCTCAAACATTCTGCCTCAACAGTTCTCCCACACATGCTGTGCTGACATAGATCAAAACCCACACCACATGGACCTCTCTCCGTGTTAAATGGTACCTTATTCTTTTTCAGGGAATCTTTTTCCGTCCCTTGTTTGCATTTCTTGTTTGCTGTGAAGATGTATTTTATGTCACCGTCCTCAAAGGTATATGGGTCATTGACTTCTCCCAAACTGTCTCCAGGTTGTTGTGAGAGAGGCAATGGGTCAAGGAAGTGGAGTGGCTGCATCTGGGGCTGCTTGTCGTGCCAGATTTTAAACCGTTTATTAGGTTGTGCTAAGAGTCTAAAAGGGAAAATAAATGACACTTTAGGCTAGGCAAGATAAAGTAAAAAGAATGATGTTTTTTAAAGAAAAGCATTTATGATTTAAAGCATTTGTAAAGCTTAAACTGAACTTAAAAATAATTCATCTACATAGTGAATTTCTTCTAGTGACTGTATTCACAATTAAATAAAACTTAGTAGCCTTTGTGAGGAATATATATTGTTGTCTCTGATTCCATGGATTCCACTTAAGAGCACAGATGGGCTCATGACAGACTGTCTAGGTTCAGATTTCAAGTGTGTCATTTACTAACTGCATGATCCTAGTTTCTTTCTCATCTATGAAGTTAAGGTAGTGACATGAAGATTAAGTGAGATAATCTGTGTAAACTGTTAAGAATTGAGGGTAGCTCAAAAACACCAGAAATGTTAAGCATTATTACTAGACACGTGATACATAACCAAATACATACAAATCCTTTCTTAAAAGTGTCAAGAGCCCTGGCCGGGTGGCTCAGTTGGTTGGAGCGTTGTCCTGTACACCAAAAGGTGGCAGGTTTCTTTCCCGGTCAGAGCACATACCCAGGCTGCAGTTGGAATGTGTACGAGAGGCAATCGGTCAAAGTTTCTCTCTCACATCGATGTTTTTTCTCTCAAAAAATCAATAAAAACATATCCTGCCCTAACCAGTTTGGCTCAGTGGAGAGAGTGTCGGCCCGCGGACTGAAGGATCCTGGGTTCGATTCTGGTCAAGGGCACATGCCTGGGTTGTGGGCTCGATCCCCAGTAGGGGGCGTGCAGGAGGCAGCTGATCAATGATTCTCTCATCATTGATGTTTCTCTCTCTCCCTCTCTGAAATCAATAAAAATATTTTTTTAAAAAACAAACAAACAAAATATCCTTGAGTGAGGATTTTTTATAAAGTGTCAAGAAACAAGAAGGTACTGACCATAGTAAGGAAAGTCTCATAAAGCTATATTCTTTGATTAGTAGCAGGACCAAAACAAAGTACATTAATGTAATGCTAGTACATTAAATGCCACAATGAGACCTTTATATGCCAGCATGTTTACATAGTGACATGTGTGTTAAACCTCACAAATGACAAAGCATTTGACTTTTAAACATTTTCCAAATGCAGAGTCTAAAATGATGAAGCAAAGCCTCTTTCATTTTGGATCTGAAAGTCTGCAGGGAGAGGTGAGGAGGAAAGCCCGATTCATGGGTTCTATGGCCTTTGCCCTCATTTAGGGGGTGATCAGGTGGATAGTGCGGAGAGTCGCCTTACCTTTGCAATGCAGTGCTCTCTGAGTTTACCTCCATTTTGGCATCACACCTCTCACCCTGAAGCTCTGGAGGCCGGAACTCAACATCATCAATGGGTGGGAGACAAAACCTATGCCACCACTTATCTGATGACTCCAGGTTCGAGTGCCTAATCCCACAATATAAGGCTGTCTCGCTGACTTCTGCCATCAGAGGCAGTCTTTGGCCTACGAGGACAGTTCTGTCATCCAGAGTAGACAACTGCTGGAGTTCCAGCCCATTTCCATAGAGGGCTGGATTCACAGGGACAGATGGTGGGTCCAGACTCTCCGTTTCCTGACCTCGCGGCTGAGGGCTGAGTGTTGGCGGCAGAGGGGAAATAGGGGAATGAGGTGAATCCATAGGATTCAGATTCATTTGCTTGCTTGTGTTTCTGGAAGGCACGGCCATTTGCTTATCATACTTCCTACTGCTGGACACCTCTAAGGAGGAGTCTATCCCTGCCAACCCTAGCTTCTGCCCTGGTGTATCCTGTTCCATGCATAACTCTTCAGCCACAGAGGGCCTATGGTGAAATGGTATCAAGGGTCTCTTTTGCAACTTGTCTCCCTTTTCCTGTCTTTCTGTTGTTTTGTGCTTAGAAGAAGCAGGAGGTGGTAAAGATGAAGATGATGATGGTCCTGCATTGAACCCTGGTTGAGATATTGTGGGAGGTCGGTTGGTTCCTACGGCACAACGTTTTAAAAGTTTATGCCTGAAATGAGAATTAAAACAATGTCAACAAATACACAGATGAGAATGACTGCATCGTTATAACATTACAAAAGAGATGCCTCTGATGAGGTTATGTCTTGTTAAGTACTCAGCAGATGCACTAATACACCAAAAAAGACTCTAGGTGTTAATTATATTTTTAATGACTAAAAACTGCAAACACCCTGATGAAAAGCAATAAATCAACCACATACAAGTTAAGAAGATAAGAGATGGAATTATGAATCATAAACTTATACACTGCTAACCCCTACAAAATTACTGATTTGAAAAAAAATCTCCTAATCTTTCCAATTTGGTGAGGGTCTCAGATAATCTATTCATACTCCATCTTAAAGTCAAGAGTTTTGAGATCATCTGCCAAAAGAAAACTTCTAATTTGTATTTCACAGCACTTTACTAACTCCAATACAGAATGGTTTATAATGGCTTGTAGTGTTGTAAATCAGGAATAAAATAACTATGCTACTCTCTCCCAAAATGTGAAACTAAGATAATAAGGGTGAATTCTAACACCTAATAGCCTAAACATACCTGAAACCTTATATGACACTATTATCTAAGAAAGAAGGGAAAAAGACAACTTTGGATCTTACATAGGTTAAAACGAGATAGAAGTAAAAAAGTTGTTGTGAGTGAACACATATCCAAGTGCACATGAAGTATTGAGGCAGGAACAGCAAGTCTGCTCACATTCTTCCTGGCAATATGGCTGTGAGAAACTGCTCAGGAAGAACCCTAGATGATGGCAAGGTTTAGTCTGTGCAACCAAGTTATATAGCAGGTCGGCCAGTTCCTCCCAATATATAAATCCCTCCCTGGGAAAAATGTAAGCTCTCCAGTAACTGAGGCCACTAGGATGGCATTAAATTACTGCTGCATTGCACTCAATGATGCCCAAGTGGGCAGTAAAACGGATTTGTGTGGCATAATGGGATTGTTTAGTGGGACAGCAGGATGGCCACCCTGCCCCATAAGGACATTAAATAGAGTGAGGAGTAGGCCATCCCATAATGGGTCTGGTAATCCTGCAGTAGATAATCTGAAAACACTCTTGCCAAAGTCTTTGCTCCTCTAAAAAAAAAACCAACAAAAATCCTGACTTTGAAGAAGGTCGTCTAACCATAAAGCGATTGTCAATAAGGTAAAAACTGTGCTTTGAGTCCCAAGGGCACAGTACTACAGTAAGAGATGAATGTCTCATCTGAGAATATCTCAGTGATATCTTCTAAGGGTGCTTATTTTAAAACCGAAATTCTTTTAAATAAAACTTCTGGAGTTGGATTTTCTCAGAGAGCATTTAACCACATCAGTCCTTTGATAGATATTTTATAGTAGCCTCTTCAAAGTAAGGGCTTTTTGCAAAGTGGATAATCTTATAAAGTAATATTTTTTCAATTAAATTTAATGACTCAGCTACATTGTGAAATGGTTAGAATTAGGAATATGCCAGTAAGTAACAGACAAGTATTGCAAATTTCTGAACAGAAAGGGACCTCACTGAAGCAGGCAACAGGAAGATCAGCCTCAGAAGGCTAACTATATGAGTGGTCCAGTGGTGGGAAGGAACCAGAGGCAGGGCCAAACAGTGCTGAAACACATGGAGGCTAAAAGAATGAGGAAAGTAGAATGACATTACAATACACATTTCAAAGAAAGTCATTATAAAATGCAATGATAAAACTGATCCAGAAAATAAAGAAAAATAAATAAATGATGAAGTTTCTAGACTAAGAAGGGGAAATTGTGATAAAAATGACAATAGGGTACCTGATTTGGGAGGAAACAGACATGTCAATATTTAGAATATAAATGGCACCCCCCAAAAATATAAGACTAAAGTACATGTGAGAAGCCAGGTCTGAAAATAAATATTTGGAAATCAATGGGCTGCAATGCATAACTTTAAGAAAGACCTGAGGTATTCGAGGTTTTTGTGAGCAAATAGAACAGTAACTTCAGAGGACAAAAAGAAAAGTGTTATTTGTTTATTTGAACTTCAGGTAAAAATAATTCAAGGTAGTAAATAAAAATATGATATAAATCAGTAAAAGGGTTATTTTTTATAGTGAAAGAAATCTAGCGTAAGGAAAATAGCAAAAAAAAAAAAATAAGATGAAGGAACTAATAAAGTTAAATATACTAAAATTTACAGCCTCCATACTTTCTAAAGGTGAACTAAACCTGGGTTATGAGCTGTTCAAAAACCAGTGTTAGGAAAATACTTTATGTCACACAATTCACAATGGTCTAGAGACAAAAGTATTCAACTGGTATACCACACCTATCCTAAGACTAGAGCTTCTCACATGCTCACAGAGAGGTCCCTTGATGAGCCAATAACTTCTTAAAAAACATCCTCCTTGAAAAATCAATCATGGGTTTCATTAGGCTAATACTTAGAGTATCTCTCAACAGAAAGCTGACTAACAAGGCAGAGCTTGATAAAAGGGGATCAACTTAAGGGGAATCAGGCAGGTGTCAAAACTGTTGTGTAAGTGTACACACACACACACAAGCACACCCCTTCCTCCCAAAGCCAATAAGCCAATTCAATTTATGCCACACTAAGAATCCCATCTAAACTAGAGAAATGAATGGCCATGTTCTAAATATACTTTTTCTCATCTAAACTTTCTATAAGTATGGAGCAATATCAAATGTGAAAATATATACTTTGGAAGCAAAACTACTCACTAAGTGAATAATCAACAGCACAGGTTCTAATAGTCAAGTGAGCAGGGGTAGGTAGGGAGAGCAGTTAAGGCTGACATACACTTAATCAGAACCCTAATGAAAACTCATGACAATAAGATTCTTTACCACCACAAAAAGTGGTAAGTCAAGGAAATATCCAGGAGGAGTGCAAAATTTTCCTACAGAAAACAATTTGGGTTCCTATTCTAATATCTAAATGAATGAGCAACAATCTTAGCCTTGGGCAGGTTTTATTACAAATATCTGCCTTAGTCATCAAAAAACACCAGCACCTACAACAAAACAAATTATCTATAGAATGTATATTTAATCCAAATTCTATTAACTCAAGCTGACTTGTTTACTATTTATCTCTACTTTAAAATTAAGAGTAGTTAAGTAAATTCATTTAAAGGGCAAGAGATTGTCTTGTCAAATAAATGCCTTTAGTTTTGACACAGCTACCCTAAGAAATCCGTGGTAGCAAATGAGTATCAGGGCCAGTTGTCTAAAAGGACTCTTTTCGAGTCCTGACAATAAAACTATATCATCCGCATATAAGAAAAGACCTATCCTTTTCTAACTTACTGGAAGAAGAAGATTTAAAACAAAACAATGGGGAAGAAGGGGTCTGAGAGGACAGGTCAGACGACTGTTCTGCCTTTTCTCCACCCACCTAGAGCAGGAACAGCTGACTCTTTGGGTTGGATCCACAAAATCCCAAGTAGCAGGATTGTTAGCAGGCTCTTCTTCAAGAGTTGGAGTTGACACTTGGCTCCTCCTAGAAAAGGTTAAAAATGTGAGCTGTGTAAACATAATCTCTGGGGGGAAAAATGTTAAAAATATTTACACATTTTACATAGTAATGGTATCCTGCAGATAATAGTTCAGAGCAATCCAAGGTGGGGAGATGGACTACTACTTGTTCTTCGCATCAGAAGAAGCAGGATTCAAAATATATCTATTTAAGTTTAATGCACATTTAACATGGACAGTACACATAGCAATTAAAACACTATCTGGCACTATTCATTGTAACTTTTTAAAAAGCCGCCTAAATTTTGCAGAAATACCCTAAATTTTAAAAAATTATCTTTTCACAGAATCTGTGAATTATATGCCCTCAGTTAGGTTGCTGAAGTCACCTATACAACTCCTGTATTTGCTAGCATTAAGGGCAGCACTCCATACCTGGAATGTGAACCAAAAGACAAGAAACAAAAATATTTCCTACATGTCAGTGACAATTGGTAGCAAAAAGGAGATGCTTATTATTACATAGTGAAAATAAGACTAGGCCAAATTTTTTATTGTTGATTTTGCTACAGCTGACACTGCAAAGTGTTTTGATGATGGCTCTGCAAGGAATTCTCTTGCTCTCCACCCTCAACTGCCTTTCTGGGTGTCTCGCTACCTTGTTCTATGCTGCTGATAGAGGGGACACGGTCTGATAGAGTTGGTGGAGATGAAAGGTTAGTGGTAATAAAAAAAGAAAAAAAAAGGTAAATGAAAGGAAAAGAAAAAGAAAATGTTAACTTGGAAATGGTCTAGGTCAGTGGTCGGCAAACTCATTAGTCAACAAAGCCAAATATCAACAGTACAATGGTTGAAATTTCTTTTGAGAGCCAAATTTTTTAAACTTAAACTATATAGGTAGGTACATTGTTATTAACTTAATTAGGGTACTCCTAAGGCTTAGGAAGAGCCACACTCAAGGGGCCAAAGAGCCGCATGTGGCTCGCGAGCCGCAGTTTGCTGACCACGGGTAGGTATTGCAGATAAAAGGGAAAGTATTATTCTAAAGGAAAGGATCATTTTTAAATGACTAGAGATAACTTTTTAATTCTAGAATGTGACATATGATTTTTCATGGCAATTACTTTAGCTTATTTACTACATCTTCTTCAGCAGCCTATTCTAGAACCAATTCATTGAGAAATAAATATATAGTATCGAATTTTCTAAAAGCTAGGTCCAAAGGACAAGTTTTAAATCTGTATATAAAGGCTGCATAGTAGTCACTAAGAAGCATCTGACTGACTTCTAAATGAATGGAGTTCTTAAGTTACTGGCAAGAATGTCCATATTTATTCTATTCCACAGAATCAAGCTTCATTTATTTACTTGCATCTGTTAAGGAAGTGGACATCTCAACCATATCAAAATAGATATGAAAATAAGCAGAATGATTACCTAAATCCTGATAAATAAAAAAGCATTTATTGACTACTATTGTCATTATTATTCATGCAATTAAAATAATCAACAGTAATCTCTTATAGTCAGTTCTTCCTCTTTTCCAAAAATATGTTAAGGGAGGGAGAAATGGAGGGCAGAAAAGAAGGGAGGAAAGAAAGAAAGAAAAGAAGAAAGGTAAGTTGGATAGGGGAAAGAAAAGAATACAGTTTCCCCAAATGAATAAACAGAAGCACAGAGACTGGTAAACACCCCTCCAATTGTCATTAATTCAGTTCAGAAATGTATTGTCAATTAAAACATAAGGTCAATATAAAATAGAAAACGTGGCAAAGAAGGTAATTTCTCTCTGTAAATAGGAAACATTCATAAATTGGTATCAGGAACTTCAAAATTTCCTGAATAATCAAATCAAGTCAAGTTATCATCTGTATTTTAACATGTTTGCATTAACTTTTATCCTATTATGGCCTGGCCAGCATGGCTCAGTGATCGAGCATCAATCTATGAACCAGGAGGTCATGGTTCAATTCAGGGTCAGGGCACATGCCCGGGTTGCAGGCTTGATCCCCATTAGGGGCGTGCAGGAGGCAGCTGATCGACTATTCTTTCTCATCATTGATGTTTCTATCTCTCTCCCCCTCTCCTTTCTTCTCTGAAATCAAAAACTTAAAAAAAAAAATTTATCCATACTATTATTTTCAAAATAAAGAAATACCTATCTAATGAACCCTCAGGCTTTGTCACACAACAGTGTAATATGACTGACCCTCTTTGTATAGTAATCAAAGAGATGGTTACTAAACCACAATCCAGACAGAATGCAAAAAAACATACTTGGACTGCGTTCTGTTGAGGATGCATTCCTTCCAGACTCGATGGACCATATGATTGTGGAGTTTTAGAGGAATCTTCCCCGATCTCTTTGGACTGTGCATAGTTATCATCCCCCCATCTTGGGCACCTAAGTGACTGACAGCACTCTGAGCACCTCCACTCTCACCTGGAAAAGACAGATAAGTTGCAATGTCATTTTTCTGAAAAGCTAGCTTATTTAACATAAACATTTTAATTGTTAAGACTCATATTCATGTAACTTTGCTCCTGCCCCCTTGCAATAATAACATTCTCTGTAGCTATGAGTAAAATTTGTGACAGTATAGATTTTTGTCGTTGTTGGCATTTTGTATGATTCTTTGTGTTCTCCCTAAAATAGTTAATCACATCAATACTCACATACTCACACTCCCTCATGAGCATAACACCACACAGAGGCATTCCTGCTCAAATGGGGACTGGAAATAACTTACACAGAAGGGTTCATACATCATAATATCAAAGACATAAACATGCATAGACTGTTTTGAATTTTTAAATCCCAATGCAGTAAATAAGTTTCAAGGCAAAACAAAACAGTAGAGGGAACTTTACGCTTGTTTAGCTAAATGGTTGTGTAACAACTGTGCACAGTGCCCTAGTAGGAGAAAAAACTTACTGGCACAAAGCTTTTAACAAGGTCAAATTTCAAATTTGTGTGTGGGACTGTTTGTCCTAATGTCTGACACTATTTATGAAAGTGTAGTACTAAAACATTGAAAGAGGTTGTCTCAACATTTTAATAAAAGGACATTAAAAATTCACTGGTTTCTAACTCCACTTTGTTTCTCCAACTATAGTTGGTATGTCATTCATTTTTTTCTATTATAACCATTATGACTGCTGATAATAGTGATTATTGATTATGTCATGAGTATTTTATTACTTCTATCTCATACAAAACAAATACTGAAGTCAGTTTCCAGTATTAAATATCAATTACTTTCATCTTTTTGATTTCATAAATATATTGTGGTTTTTACTCTGAACAGAAATAGGATGCAAAACATCCTGACCAAAATAATCTATTTTTAGAACTCTGGAAACCTCCATTCTCATCTGAAAAAGAAATCACAAACTAATATTCTTGGCATCAATGCAACAAAACAATGATGAGTTGAATGGTTAGGCTCAGCTCTATTTTTTTTTAAAAAAGAAAGAAACCAACCCCAAGTGCTTACATTCTAAGAAATGGAAGCTTTCTTGTTCCCCAGAAAAGTACTGTTATATTACAAATGAGATAAAGGAGACAAGAAATTTGGTCTTTCATTGCTACCTTTTATCTTAAAAGTTCCCTGACTTGGTTCATGATGCAAAATAATTCATTTCCATTTTACAATGGACTTTCAAATGCCTATTCTAAAACAAAGCAAAGTGAAGAAATAAACAGCAGAAGTAGATAACTCAGTCTTTGCCACCAAACACCCTACAATATAGCTGAAGAGATCATATGCCCATGGAGTTAAAGGAAGTAAGTTATGACCAATAAAGGAGAGGGGTACAGAAAACAAGCCACAGTCTTTTCTGATTAAAGTTGATTCAATGCTTTTCAATAGCTTTTAACAATTTAGCTAAAATGTGGGTGATATCTTGTATGGAACTAAACAGGATTTGTACTCCATGCTGTTAAATGCATGCTGAGTGTCATTTCTTACAAGGGTCTATATAAACAGAAGAGGCAAGATGATGTGCCTATTCACAAGTGACTTCACCAAAACCAATGGCCCTCCTGGGTCCCGTTACTCTAGGCCAGTGGTCGGCAAACTGTGGCCCCTTGAGTGTGGCTCTTCCACAAAATACCACATGTGGGCGTGCACGTAAAAGTGCGATTGAAACTTCGTGGCCACACTCAAGGGGCCAAAGAGCCACATGTGGCTCTCGAGCTGCAGTTTGCCAACCATTGCTCTAGGCAACCCTTGGCCACTTTAGGGGCAAAGTAACCCATTTCGTCCTGTATCTAGAAAACCATGGCAATGCTCAATGTTAGTCAATGCAGAGCGACAAGGCTGAGCAGGACTCTTTCTGATGGAGCAGTAAGAGTTTTAAGCTGTAACTCACATATGATGTACGCATTTGGACAAGTTCATTTTACAGCAAAGATTCCAGTAACTTTTATTTCATTGTGTTTGTTTGTGTTTTGTTTTTTGCTTGCTTGCTTTAGGAAGGAAGCATCAGGGGACTTACTGACCCAGGGCCTAGCACATTGACATTCAGATTTAGAGGGGAAGGAGCTGGAAGATCTATAGCCATACACTCCACACTGAAACTCACCATAAACAAAACCTCTTAATTTTGAGTTATGACACTTAGAGTTCTGAACTTATCCATCAGAGGTCAAGGCCTTATTTATGCACACAGTAAGCCTTCAATTTTAAGTTGAATATAAATTTCACTAAATGCCGGGCAAAATAAATAAAACAAAAAGGGATGACAACTTACGGAGTGCAATTGTTAAAAATACAAACCTTTATATGAAATGTGATTAAAACTTCAAAATACTGATAGTTCTAATCTTTCCTTAATGTATCTTCTCTATGGTGATTATTATAAAAGACTATAAAAGTAGTTTTTCTTTTTTCATTTTAAAGTAGTTAATAAAAATTGTTTGAGCAAATCCTTTCACAAGGAATCATCCAAACTCTCTGCTCTACCAAGTTAGAGCCAGATGCATATTTTTCCACCATCTTAGCAACTTACACAGCCCTTAGAAACAGAGGCCACATGTTGTGCATTTCTGTCTCCCACACAGTATCAGAGTAATTCATGCGTATACTGTGAAACTATTTACACAACTCTGTCAAGTATAATACCTAATACATATAACAACCTTGTAAAGAATGGAGTATTTGTGCCCAGCGGCGTGGCTTAGTGGCTGAGTGTCGACCTATGAACCCCGAGGTCACAGTTCGATTTCCAGTCGGGGCACATGCCCGGATTGTGGGCTCGATCCCTATGTGGGGCATGCAGGAGGCAGAAATCAATGATATCCTCTCATCATTGATGTTTCTATCTCTCTCTCCCTCTTCCTTCCTCTCTGAAATCAATAAAAATATATTTTTTTTTAAAAAAAGAAGAATGGAGTATTTGACAGAGAAGGAAACTGGGGTTCAGAACAAGTATGAGAGTTAAATAAGGTCACTCACTTAAAAAGCTACAGACAGGCTTTAAAATTAGGTGTGTTCAATCACAAAATCTATACTTTTCCCAACATACTGTTTAACCATGAACTTCTATTGAAGGCCCACTATGTGGCAAGCAGTATGCTAGAAACTGAAATATCTAATCCTCATGAAAATTACCATGTTGGTGTGTAACATGCTTGAGAGTGTTTTCAAAGCTTAGCAGCTAAGACTTTTATTTTGATGTTCCTACCAACATGTGCACATTAAATGCCTATAAATAATCTCATTTCAGCTCAAGTATGATGAATATCTTTTCCTTAGTGACTAGATCGCCAATGAAAATCAACTACCACAAACTTTAATATACAAAATATACTATTCAACAAAAAGGCAAAATCCTCTCAATTTAAACAATTTCTGAATTTTTGCATGAAGGAAAACTGTTTGTCAAGATTTTCACATTTTGGATAACATTTATCATTAATGGACAAAGATTACTGACAGGGCAAAGCATTTATTCAGAGCTCCTGGATGCTGGCCTAACTTTATCAAAGTAGAATAAGAACTGTCCAAGACACATCTCTGTCTGGCAATAGTCAACTGAGCAAAAGTTCCAGCCACTTTCTGATGTAGTGTTTTCCATTTGTTTACAACAAAGAAGCAGCCTTCATCTTATTTCCTGACAGTATGTATGCACATGCACACACATGTGTTAAAAGGGACAGATGTGTGTGTAGAACTTAAGAGAAACAACTAAATTATTTAACTGGATAATTTAGAGACTAAAATTCTGAAGCACATACATTCTGTTTGTTTAAATTTTTCCTTTTCCATTTTGTAAAATTCCCGTGTTACCCTACTTCCACCTCTTTCACCAGGAATTTCTCAAGATGAGTTTTCTCCCTGTCCTATGGCAAGGGAACTAGATGATTTTCTGGGATCGCATTCACCCAGAACATTCCTGGATTGTACTCACCTGTGGCAGCCTGTTCTGGAGAGGTGGGCGGGGTAAGAGGCATCCCGCAGTTACTTGGGTCCTTCACACTACCAAGTCCCTGCTGCCCAACTGAAATATGGCCTCCAGCACTGGCAACGCTCTGAGGAACTGGGATGTCATTCTGAGAGATCAGAACAAAAGCTGAAGGATAAACCATCCGGACACCACCTGTAAGGAAAGAGCAAGGAGAGAATCAGGGCTGAGAGAAAGTTCACACTAGACTGCCAACTTTATTATTCCAGTGGTCAGAGTCAAAGCTCTGGTGAGCATGGGATACTCATTAGGTCCTGCAAAAAGTGATATGTCTCATTCTTCCATAAGTTAATAGCTGCTTAACCATGTGTTCCAAAATTATAATAATAGCATTTGGAATCCAGGGACCATTGGTGCTTCAGGCAAGAAAACTATTCAGTATAACCACTGTGTCAAGAGAATTTTTAAAATGGGAAAATTATGGAGATTATTTTTGATGAATCTAAGTGATTATCTTTTTTAAATTAAGGAAGATGAAGAGAGAATAAAGTTCTTCAGGCAAAATATTTTCTCTTACCAACAATTACTTCGACTGCCACAGGGAAATCATTGTCGTATCCCAACTCCTCCTCTTTCAATTCTTCTTTCTTTTTCAGCACCATTGGGTAGAAATACTGCCATTCCTCTATCAACTTACGGGTGGCTGGGTCGGACATCTTGTATGCTTGGCCTGTTAGCGTGCCGTTTAATCCATAAGGACTTACCAGTACTGAGTCAGGGAGGAGAAACATATGTTACAGATCACAGTAATAATTCCTACTTAACTGTTGTGGTATTTTTAGATTAAAGTATAGCATCATTTAATGTATATTGCTCTTTATTTGCTAACTCCTTTCAAAGTGTGATTCTTTAAAGTTTTTAATTTTATTACTTCTTATTTATATGCCTCTCAACTCACATCAATTTTTGAAGGAAATCAAATGGGGGAGATTTAGTAATATCTGAAGCTATAGCGACACACAGTATATGAATTATCTGTATGTTAAAGCTTATACTTATCAATTTGATAATAGCTTATACAAAATAAACACTGAGTCTTCCATAACAGAATAAAACCATTCAACACAACCCCAAAACTTGCCAAGAACTTGAACACTCTTCCTATGGTTCTTGATACTTCCTAAAGTCTGTGGTAACCAAAAAATTATGCATAAATAAAACTTCTATTAGCAGAAAAGCCTTAATTTATCTACTATAAAATATAATGCTTTATTATTCAGGCATATCTCTACTGTTTTAGAGATCTGTTGATAAAACAACTCCAAATAAAATTTATTTCATTAAAGTAAGGGATTTAAAATCCTTCTTTCTCTTTCAGTAATTGACCTTGATGTCATTTTCACTGAGCTACACACAAAAATGTAGTTAACACAGTGCTGTGTATAACCCAGCCAGTTCTTAGCCTCGGGGTATTTCAACCTTCCAAATAACACTTTTCTGGGATAAAGAGGTCACTTTTTCTTACTCCTAATTAAAAAAAAAAAAATCACAGCATAGTTATTAAATGGAGTATTCTTTTTCTTTTTGATGGCTTTATTTAACAGCTGGATGGTATACCACATCAATCAAGACAGAGATAGCTGTAGACATCACATATTTATTGGTGCCTTTATGCTGTTCCTCACTGATTCGAATGGGCTAAAATTACTGATTCTAAACACAGTTAATCAAGGGCAATTTTCCTATATTAACACTTCTAGGAAATTCCTACATCAATATCATTATGTTCACTACAGTTCATCTATAGGCCAGCACCTGCCCTAAGAATGTACCTCCTCACACTAATCTAGGGAAATAAGCAGGACAATGTCCCACAAAGGTTTTCTCTATGATTTGAAGCATTAGCAACAAACCAGTAAGATTTTAAAAATAAGTGGTCTATAGGGACCTGGTATTCCTAAAAGTATCCTTATCAACTTAGGTTAGTTACCTTCCCTTATGACTAGTAATTCCTTTTGTAACCATAAAGAAATGCTTTTATTTTGAGTGATAACGTCTAGAATGAAGTCAGATGGTCCTCAGCACCTTCACAGTCAAGAAAACATAGTATTTAAATAATTTTGACAATCCATAATATGTGCATAATGTATAACTCTCAAGTGTACAGTCTGAGAATTGGGCTGTTTTTGTATAGCAGCCCACACATAAAACACCCCAAATTACAGAATAATAATGAACATAGTTTTAAATACGTTGCAAGTGGGAGGTAGGGGGAAAGTAAGTAGTACTTTAGGGCAAGAAACAGATGCTTTTATCAAATTAAATCAGAATCATCTGTAGAAAACCAAAAAGGCAATCATAAATAATATGGAGGATAAATATTCATATTTATCTAATATAACAGGCAGTTATATCAATAAAAATACTTCAGTCATGTCTGTTAAAATATCAGTGTTTTACCATATGGTTCAATCTAACATTAAAACATTTTAAAGTTTATTCATAGAAAATTCTGAATTCCAACACAAAACTGAAGATATATAGAATACACAATTACAGAAAAGGGACATGAGGTTGTTTTGGTGATATTTCGGTGATAAGCTGAGAATTAATAAAAATATGAATGTCTAAAAAAATACAGAAAAAAATATGAATGTCTATTAAATTACAACCAAATGCCTATAATCAATGTAGCCTATAATTAAGAGAAAATAATAAAGTTATTACCATCACTGATTAAATTATATATTACACAACTCTAGAAATATGATTTTGATTAAAATTTCAAATACTAAGTCTAATAGTGATTATCTGCAAATGATGGCATTCTTGAAACAGTGGAACAAACAAAACAATAAAAACCTTTAATTTATAAGGATTATGTTTTTCAAATACTTATTCATCTTTTTTTCTGCAGGAATTCTCTACATTTTATTTCTCAACTCAGCTTCACATAAGACCACATTGTATATGTGATAAACTTTCAACAAAAACAAATCAACAAAAAACCAGCAGGCTATTATAATTTAACTAGAGGCCCAGTGTACGAATTCGTGCACCAGTGGGGTCCCTCGTCCTGGCCTGCGGGATCGGGCCGAACCCGGTTCTCTGACATTACCGGATTGCAAGAGGGTGCAGGCCAGGCCGAGGGACCCCACCAGTGCATGATAGGGGCTGAGGAGGGACGCGGGAGGTTGGCCAGCCGAGGAGGGACTGCGGGAGGGCTCCAGGGCATGTCTCGCTCAGTCCCAATCTGCTGGACCCCACCAGCAAGCTAACCTACCGGTCAGAGCGTCTGCCTCCTGGTGGTCAGTGCACGTCATAGCTACTGGTCTACGGGTCGACTGTCTGCCCTCTGGTGGTCAGTGCACATCATAGCGAGTGGATGAGCGACGTTAGCATATCATTAGCATATTACGCTTTGATTGGTTGAACGGCCAACCGGTCAACCAGACACTTAGCATATTAGGCTTTTATTATATAGGATTGTGAAATGTTGGTCTTTCTTCTTCAGAAACTGACCTTTATGCTTACCTTTAAAATGTCCATTAAATATAATATCTCATTCTGCAAAACCTAACTGGGCAGATGGCTGGCTAGCCAGTAAGGTGGAGGGGGTGGGCGAAGAGCAGGGCATCACCATTTACTTACCTTGAAATGGTGCAGGTGAAGACTGAGCCATGTGTATATGCTCCTCATTGATCAAATAAATTGGCTGGTGTTGGGCAATCTCCACACTTGTGCATACATTACTTTCCCCATGAAGAAAGAATGTGAAAGCACAGGACAAATGTTCACTGGAAAAGAAATAATGAGAAACTCAACTCTACATTTTGATATAAAATGAATGCTAGATACAAGAACTACAGATGGGATATAGCTTTACTTTATCAACCATTCAGCAAAACTTGCCTCTGATGATATTAACAGCATAAATTTCCAGTTGATTGTGGACAAGTAATATGACAATAACTTGTTGGCAACTAACTAAATTAAAGCTGCCAGATAAGTCTGAAAAATTAGTTATGTAGCATTGTGAAATTTTGAAAGCTGTTGTAAAGAATGCTTCCTGTTTCATTTGCAAAAAGTCTCCTATGCTGACTTATACATTCCTGGGAACAGAAAAAGAATGAAATTTTTCTACCTTCTCAAGTACTAGTATCTGAACTGGCTTTTAATTGAGTCTAGGGACAATGACAAAACAGTTTTGCTTAGGTTTGGTATGTTATAACAATAACACCAAACTTACAAGCTTACAACATTACAGTAAGGTTAACACTGTTGACTTTAAAATAGCAATTAAAGACAGCACTATATATAAATTCCTAATATACAGCTGCTAAGGTAAAACAAGTGTCTAAATGAGCTGGTAATCTATTATATTTATTTTTGCAATTTACTTCTGATCACAAAATTTTATTAAAGCATTCAACACATCCCTGTTTTCCACACAATTAGCTAAAAATTCACAAAAATCATGTGTCCTGGAAAAAATAATTTCAAAATTACTACAGTGGCACATTATTTCAAAGTTGTTAACTTTGGCCCTAAGCCAGCCATAACATCTCCACTTTTCAAGACAGCTCACAAGAACAATGTGCCTGATGAACCAAATCACTGAAGGCGCCAGGCAACCATGTAAAAATTCATCGCCAAAATTTGCTTCTTTTCAAAAGTTCTTTACAATATTATAAAGTGTATTTTGAGTGCCAGTCAAAACATTAAATGTTAGAAAGTATAAAATTATAAGGCTTTACGGAAAAATTAAAATAAAAATGATAAAATGTCCACTCCATCACACAGCAAAGCATATATATTCTTTCTTGGCAACTATCTTAAGATAACCTGAGAACATTTTGTGTTTTACTAGGATGTGAAGTTTCATCAATAAGAAACACCTAGTCTTGGCATATGGGTATTTAGCACAATACAGTAAATAAGACAGTAACTATAATCTTGTAAGAATTTTAAAAAATTTAAACATCCTCTTTATACCATACTTTTTATGTTTCAAGTTTACAATAAGAAAATAATAACAACACACTGCCCTTTCTGTATGAAAACTACACTATAAACAGGTCATCTTTAACAAACAACATTATGCCTGGCACATAACAGGATCAAAATATAAGTTAATCTGGTTAAATTTCCATCTGTAAAATTCAAGAAAGAGGTTGATATAAAATGGATGCTTATTTGTACCTACGATCCCATGTAGTCAATAGCATTTTACAAACAACTGGGTTTTAGATATTGAGGGTAGTACAGAATACATTCTCTTTTCCACTGATTCTCAACTGTTCATAAAACAATGCTAACCAACATTTATCCACCAACTAGTAAGTGCAAAGATTGGTGCAAGGAGCCTAAAGTGACACTGAATACAACATGGCCCTTGCCCTCAAGGAGCACATAATCTAATAAGATTGATATGAACACACATCAATAAAATAAAACCAGGAGAATACAGAAACAGAATGAAAAAACAAAATGCTATAGGGATGCTAAGGCATACTGATTTGTTCAATCTCAAAGACCCAAGTGCTTCAAGAAGACAAGAACCAGTAAAAATAGGGTTTTAGTAGTACAGAGAAAGAAAAAGGTAAGAGTCACAGCATGTGGCAAGGAGTAGAGTAGCTAAGAGCAGAATATAGCTTGGAAATTCTAAAGAAGGAATGGCGTGACAGGATGGGAAAGGAGTCTGAAAAAGAAGTCAGAGGTCACCTCTTGAGACAACAAAGAGACTTGTATGTGAAAAATACCAGGGAGCCAATTTAAAGTTTGGTTTTAAAAAGTCAGCTGAATCTACAGAATCGTGATGAAACTTCAGAACAGTACTCATTTGAATTTGCTGTGTCCCAAAAGATACAGTAGAGAAGCACGATTGAAAAAAAGTAGGAATTGAATAAATGAACTATTTTTTATATTGATAACTTTAAAAACAAAATGTTTTAAAATTAAAACAACATAAGAAAAACTGCAAGTTATAGTTGAAATATAACAGAAGCCACCAATCTATGTATATAAAAGGCTAATATGCAAAGTGTCCCCTTGGGAGTTCGACTGGGAGTTCCAACGCTCGCTATGATGTGCGCTGACCATCAGGGGGCGATGCGGAATGAAGGAAGACCTCGGCCGGCAGCTGGAAGGCCCCGATCGGCCCTGATCACCAGCCAGGCATAGGGACCCTACCCGTGCATGAATATCGTGCACTGGACCTCTAGTAATTATATAATTTTTGGTTAAGTTACTAACACCTTTCTGATGATAGTTTCCTTATATGTAAAATCAACTGTTGCACAAATTGCTGGGTCCCCCAGAAGTTCTGATTCAGGAGGTCTAGAGCAGCCGTGGGCAAACTACGGCCCGCGGGCCGGATCCGGCCCATTTGAAATGAATAAAACTAAAAAAAAAAAAAAAAAGACCGTACCCTTTTATGTAATGATGTTTACTTTGAATTTATATTAGTTCACACAAACACTCCATCCATGCTTTTGTTCCGGCCCTCCGGTCCAGTTTAAGAACCCATTGTGGCCCTCGAGTCAAAAAGTTTGCCCACCCCTGGTCTAGAGTGTGCCCCACGAATCTGCATCTGTATCCAATTCCAAGTGATGTTGCTGCTACTCCTAATCCAAGGACCACACTTTGAGAACCACTGAATTTTGATGGTGCCTAAATCCCTTTCCAGCTATAAAATTCTACTTTTTCTAAGATTATGTAAAGCTAGAGGGCAAGGATGACAATACTGAGACTGGAAAGTGAAATTCCCCTTTGACCTAGCAATATCACTTCTAAGACTTTATTCCACAGAAAAAACTATTATACAGTGATTGCATATAGCACTGCTTGTAATAGTTAAAGACTAAAACAGCCATTATGTCCATCAGTAAAGGACTGGTTAACTTCACTATGACATATCCCTACAAAGTAATACTGTGAAACCATTTAAAAGAAAATGATCACACTTATATGAGAAAATCCCAACATAAACTCATAAATATGAGACAAAAATTATGTGACTTGGAAAAAATGCATTTTATACAACTAGAGTTACAGATATTGAGGGTAGCATAGAGTATGCTCTCTTTTCCACTGATTCTCAACTGTGCGTAAGAACAAAACTAACCAATATTTATCTACCAAAGCAGTGTGTGAATAACTTACTCCCATTTGTATAAAAATGGGAAAGGGGGAAATATGTGCATACACAATTTGCTTACAATGGCATAAAAAGTCTCTGGAAGGATACACTTTAAAAAACTTAATCATCTTGGCTGCCTTTGGGGAATAAAATGGCATGAATGGTGGGGAAAGAGAGAATTCACAATAGTCTTTTGTACTTTTTGAATGTGGGGTCATATATCACACAGAAAGTAATGGAGGCAAGATCTGAAGGAAGCCCCTGCCTCCTATCCTTGTGCTTGTTGGCCCAACTAGAGGAATCCAAGGTGTTTCATTTTATCATAGTTGGCTCTTAGTTGAAGCCTGGTAAAATCATCTTTGATTCTGATTCTGTTATCCAACATACTACTTGATCATCAAGCCATCAATATCTTTATCCATGTCATTGCTAAAAATGGTGAAAACACTACACACGGTGGATGGAATATTGTGTCATCTTATCAGATAATTCCTGAGTTAATTCACTCATTTACTATCTCTTGTCTACAAAGGATAATCACAAAGATTATGTCAAATGTCTTGACAAAATGCAGATATATAACAACTGTCATATTTCTCTGATCTACAAATCAACCTAACTAATAGTAAAATTCAGGTAATCCTACATAATAAAAGGCTAATATGCGAATTGTCCCTTTGACCAAGAGTTCGACTAGGGGGCGGGGCTGGCCCACCAACAGCCCACGGCCCCTCCCCTTGGCCAACCCTGCCCCTGATCGGAACCCCCTCCCCGTTTGGGGCAGGGCCAGCCTGCCAACCGCCTGTGGTCCCTCCCCCCAGCCAGTCCCCTCCTCCTCCCCCCAAACAGGGCGAGGTTGGCTGGCCTACCTCCTGTGTCTCCTACCCCTGGCCGGCCCAGCCCGATCAGCCCCAATCAGGGTGGGCCGGCCGGACCCCACCTGTGTACTAATTTGTGCACCGGGCCTCTAGTCTAATATAAAAGCCATCCCCACCCTCATTTTACAGATGAGAAATTAGGGCTAAAAGTCCAGTTTGCCAATGACATTCTTAGAGGCACAACTGCAACCAGACGTAAAATTTAATGTTCTTTCCTCTAGCTAGCTTGCTATAAATGGGGATATTAACTATTATCCCTACCACCATATATTTTTATATAAGTAAAATGAGATCACATTTGTGAATGAATATTAAAAACAAAGGGCTCTACAAGTACAATTACAGATATAATGTTAGAGAGTATTATGAGGAAGTTAGGAGGTAAAAGCTATTAGCGCCATACCTGTTCTTCTTCTCACCTATAAACCATTTTTATCTGAACTCTTTAAACACTCAACTTCATCTATTTCATACAAGCTCATCATTTGACAACTGAAAAGGGATTTAGAGATGCTATAGCTCAACCCCTTTCTAATTAATTCATGGTGAAGGCAGGTCTGTGCCCAAAGTTACACAAGCAGTTCAGAGGACAGTTGGAATAAGAATTCAGGTCCCACTTCTTAACATAGTGTTCATAGGACATTCATGACGTTCTACCTTAGACCAATACTACATTCACCCCTAGAGAATACATGCATTCGTCAACATGATCACACATGTAACTTAAACCAGCCCCTGCACCATCTACACTAATAAAAGAGAAACATGGTAATTAGCG